AGGAGAGGTGAGTAGGGATTGGGAGGAGGAGGGGAGGAGGAGAGGTAAACTGGGGAAGCGGAAGTGACCTCAGGAGGCCGGCGCGGGTGTCGTTGCTGAGGTGTCGCTTATGGCGGCCGTCACGTGTTGTCACCACAGGGGGGGCTGTTCCAGCCCGTGCCTGATTTTGATTATCAGACTACATTTCAATCTCACCAAGGCTGAGGGTCTTGAATTTCTTGAATCAACTTGAGGCAAGTCGCTCGGTGTATTCATGACTTTCTCTTTCCCAGAGCCCTCATGTGGCACCCTCAGTGGCTCAATCTATTCCGGTTGCCTGCCAGTGAAGAGTGTGGTGAGAAAGTAAGCCATCAGGTTACTTTGTCAAAGAACAAGCGCATATAGTAATCAAGAGGCCAATTGACATTCACTCAAGAGTCTCTAGGTAACCGAATCATAACACGCAAATGCGATATCTCTATACCATATTCACCTCATGGAAATCAACTAAGCTAAGGGTTCTGGCAAGGTCTCTGGACCAGAGTTCGTTTATCAGCTGTCACTCAATTTGTACTCAGTAGTGAGTTGCGAAATACAAATAGATATCCACATATAAAGGACCTCCCAGAGTGCTTTTAATTCCAGACTCAATTGGCATGGCTCAATCTCGTCCCCCAGGCCATCTCTAAGGCCTGGGCAGGACATGAAAGCCACATGGCCGGTTCCATCCGAACGAGCCACAACATCGATGACGTCAGCAACGGGGCCGAGACCAGCGCTGCTCACCACAATCAAATCTATCACCGTGAAACTGTGTGAATAAGCCAATACCAGATTTATGATATTGGAATCATGGGTACAGAGATAATCTGTGAATTAGCTCGGTGCATTGAGGGAGTGAGTCGTAACTGTGACCCTCAGCGACCTACACGAACACTGAATCCTATCCCTTCGAAAGTGGGAGATATATATACAAGCGACCAAGACACTATATGATCGAACAATCCTTAGACACAGGCACCCACCTACCTGAGATATGAGGAAAGCTCTAACAAGCTGCCACCGAGAACAAGTAGCAGTGAATGTAGACATCCAGAAGCAGCAAATTGGCAAACTGCATTTCGTTCTCCGCCAAGCATTGTGGATGATAGCTGCGGTAGTAAAAACCCGCCGTCACATCGCATGAACTTCAAGACGGGTCGGTCATATTACCTCCTCTCCCAGATCTTAAAACAGAGAAAGAAAAGGGAAATAGAGTCGAAACTCACGAGTAACATCATCAAACCCCTCGATATTCATGGCAACTCTGTCCATGCGCTACATTCGTCGGGTTCGATGGAACCCGCCCGGCAAATTTGCCGAACCACGTGGAACCTATGCATCAACGGCAAGGGAGTGTACAGCCTCGGGCTTGTTCCTAGCCTGCAGATCCTGTGCTGCGATACAAGTGTCTTGGCAGATGGTTCTAAACATGATACAACTCTACGCCTCGACGCTGTGCACATCGGTCTCATAACAAGGCACTTTTTAAAATTGGGATATCGCTATTGCAGGCCTTTGATCATCACAGTTTCAGGTATAAATCATCATAAACACACAACCATCACAGGTGTGATTGTTTGGCATGGACCCGCCCCATCCATGTCACATTAGTGGTGGAACAGACGGGTACCCTGCTCAACAAAGACAATACCCAGCTTCTCAGAGGTTTCGAAGACGGGACGGTCGTTCTGGCTACCGCTGGGAGCAGCAATGTACTTCACACCCGAGCGGGCGGCACGGAAGACGTTGTCAATGAAGGGGAACTGCGTCCATTGTTAGTTGAAAAGTGCCATGTCACGGAAGAATGGGATCAACTTACGAAAGCATCAGAGGAGACAGCAACCTCGCTCAACTTCTGCAGCCAAGACTCACGCTCCTCCGCGGTGAAAGGGGCGGGGACTTCCTCGAACACACGCTCATACTCCACACGCTCGGCCTCGTTGCGAGGGGTCTGACCCGAGCAGAGCAGGTCAATAGCATTGCTCTTATCGGCACGCTTGGTGCCCTGCTTCCACTTGATGTTCAGCACACGGTCGTGGAAGCGCATCCACCAGTTGTCAGCCTTGTCACCAGCCAGACGAGTGCAGTGGATACGGCTCTGCTGGCCAGCACCGAGACCGATGACCTGGCCGTTCAGAGCATAGCACACAGAGTTGGACTGAGTGTACTTCAGCGCGATGGTGGCGACGGTAAGATCGCGCAGGGCGGAGTCAGGAAGAGCCTTCAAGTCCTTAGGAGTGATGATGGTGTTGAAGGTCTTCTGGGGAGAGATGACGACATCGTTGCGGTGCTGGGAGAGCTGCACACCGTACAGCGTGCGAGTCTCCTCGGCAGCCGGAACATAGTTCTCGTCCATCTGGAGAACAAGGTACTTGCCACCCTTCTTCTTGGAGAGGATCTCCAGAGCCTCGGGGGTGTAGCCGGCAGCGATGACACCGTCAGAGACCTCACGGGAGACGATCTTGGCAGTGGGAACATCGACAATGTCACTCAGAGCCAGAATGTCACCGAAGCTGGACATACGGTCGGCACCACGGGCACGAGCATAAGCCTGAGCCAAGCCAGAGGTCTCGATACCCGGAATGTCATCAACCATGTAGACCTTACGCTCCTTCTCGTTCAAGGGGACACCAACAGCTGCACCGGCGGGGGAAACGTGCTTGAAGCTGGCAGCGGCAGGGTAGCCCAAGGCCTGCTTGAGCTCCTTGACCAGAGCCCAGGCGTTGAGGGCGTCCAGGAGGTTGACGTAACCGGGAGATCCGTTCAGGGCCTTGAAGGGAAGCTTGCCCTCAACCATGTAGGCAGAGGCAGGCTTCTGGTGGGGGTTGGTACCGTAGCGGAGAGCCAGGTACTTGTCGCCGTTGCCAGCATACTCCTTGCGGAAGAAGCCGGAGATGGCAGTGTCGTAGTCGGCGGTGTGCTCGAAGGCCTTGAGGGCATAGGACTTGCGACTGGCATCGGTGATATCACCGGCCTCCAGCTCCTTGAGGAACTCAGGGTAATCCTGGGGGTCGGAGAGGATAGTCACACGGGCGTGGTTCTTGGCCGCAGCACGGAGGAGAGTCACACCACCGATGTCGATCTCCTCGACGGCTTCGGGGATGGTGACGTTGACCTTCTTCACCGTCTCCTTGAAGGGGTACAGGTTGCAGACAACGAAGTCGACCTTGGAGATGTTCTGGTCGGCCAGATCCTTCTCGTCGGACTCGATGTCACGAGCCAGGATACCACCGTGGACAGCAGGGTGGAGAGTCTTGACACGACCACCCAGCATCTCCGGCGCATGGGTGATGGCGGAGACATCTCTAATCGGCCATCAGCTCTACCTCCTGCTGAAAACAACGAAGAGAATATGGCCCCGGTCATGACCACATCAGTATGATGACTCACTCGACAGGGAAGCCCGCCTCCCGAATCAACCGCGCCGTACCACCGGAGGCAAGCAACCGGACATTCTGTTTGACGAGGCCCTTGGCCAGGTCGAGCAGACCAGTCTTATCGTAGACGGAGAGGATGGCTATCAATGGCACACAATGGTCTCAAGTCAGCCTTGAACTTCATTCAATCAACAAGCAAAGCAACAGACAATGCCCCGATGTGGAGACAGCGACCGGACCAATTCCATTGCGAAGCGGACCGTGAAGCTGCTGCACCCGGGGATACCGAGTGGGAGAGGGCAGAGCAGTGGGCAGGACGTTTCAAACTCACCAGACTTTTGTTGAGACATCCTGAAAGAGAAACACTGACAGTGAGACAGACACTGGGAGTAGACAAGTCAGAGATGAAGAGGAGCGATGCTGGAGGGGAGAAAAATGTTCAGGTTAGGAGGAGTGCCCCCCACAACCCCTCCACCCCTCCAGGTCGAATGGATCAATTGGAACTTGGGAAGTTCCGATGGGCTAGTCTAGTGCCGGGAAAGAGTAGTAGCACATACCTCAAACTCCGCGGGAAAGACAAGATGTTGAGCTTGGGGAAAGGAGTGGATGAAGAGTAGAGATCAATTGAAAAACTCCAGGGGATCAGGAACGGAGTGGTAAAGAGTTTGCCAGGTGTGGCTCAGGTGCAAATTGTTCCAGATAGCTCCAAGAGAAAAAAAAATAGGGAAGCTGAGGGAGGGGTAAAAAGTGCCCATCTTCTTTCTAGGTTGCTTCATCACTGCTCAGTCACTGTTCCCGCCGCGGGGTGCTTCGCCGCTTTCGGACCTGGAGTGGATGACTGTCAGTGGCGATTACTAACTCAGTGCTGTAACTAGTACTAGTTAACTAAGTGGAAAGCATCTGATAGATCATCACACCTCTGTGCCACTGTGGGTAACTGTGGTGCCTCCCCCGGGCCGGACACTGGCCTTGCCTTTTCAGGTGTGCGCAAAGTAAGGCTCGTACTGTAACTAACTAGTACTTAGCTCAATTATGCTAGGTGCATAAGGGCAGCTTACTCATTACAGCTTGCATCGGCAAAGAAGTTCGCCTATCGATCACATGATCTATGCACAGACCACCCACACACCCTACAAAACCCGCGCTTCGTCGCGGCTTCCTCCTTTTCCTTTTTCCTTTTTCTCACATGAACAACGCATTAAAATAACATTCTTAAAAAAAGCGTTCCTACGAGGATATACTTGTATAACCTATGAAGTACGGAAATCGTCAAACAGAATGGAGACAAACTGCTCTATAGCAGAGTGTCGATCTTGGGTGCAGTGCCTGCTTGAACTCCATAGTAGGGATTGCAATGATTGATTCTACAATCCTTTTCGTGCCTCTTGATGATGAGTCGCGTCGTAACACCCAATAGAAAAGGAAAACAAGAGAAAAAAAAAACCCACCCTCGTAGACATTTCTCACTTCTGCTGGTACGGTCTGGCAGATCTGATGCTCGTGGTAACTTGTCATTTCTATCTAATAGCAGACCATCATGTCCGGACGGGGCATAATGAGGAAATGCATATTGAGAAGGGCAAAAGCCGAGGGCATGGAAATGAGACAAGAGGGGTGTGTACACAAAGGCGTTACTAGTGGTGTTCAAATATCGTAAAGAAGAAAAAGAAGCAATGTCTCATCAAGATGCTCACTTCTTGAGCGACTGTTTGCCGGAGTTGCCAATGGCCAATTGCCGGCCAATGTTTCCGAAGCAAACGCAGGCGCAAAACAGAACACTGGCAATCCATGTCCGCACAGCGATGCTCTCCTGTGTCATCCCAATGTCCAAACCGAAGTCCCGCCCCGTGACGTTGGCCAACAGGAGGGTGGGGCTGGAGGGCTCCAGAGAGGATGGCACCAGATCGGGGTTGAGGCCCAACACAACGCCCATTCCAGCCAAACCAACCACAGTCGACAAGACGAACCCTGTCCGAGTGCGGTCGATGAGATACCATAAGACAGGGTTCACAAGTGCGAGGGTTACCGAAGCTTGGGTCGTAGATTCCCAGGGTAGTCGACGCTGAGGATCACAAGTAAAGTTAGAGATTCGACGCTTAATGTAAGTCTGAGATGGCACGACTTACCATAGCAAATGCGATTCCGACAAAGGCCCCGACGCTGCGGACCGCCGCCACCCACGACAATGTGCGTTCGGCAGTTTCCTCGTCACTCGCCGAAGAAGCAGCTCGCTTGCCGTCATTGATCAAGTCATCCGAGAACTGGTCAAACCAGGGGAGCACGTTGCCCAGAATGACCCCCGCCACGCCCCAGAATGCCAGATATTGCCATGATCCGTAGTAATGGACGTTCTCCAGCTTCACCGGAGTGATCCAATGATTCTCGTGCAGGTGGATCGTAATGATCCCGTACACCACGCCGAAGCCAAGCAGGAAGGCGCTCTTCAGCGCCTGGGGGAGAATGACCCCGCGAAAGAGTCCCTGGCTGAGGCGTGACCGCGTCCGCTGCAGCTTCCCCGGTGCTGGCCCTTGGATGACTGGCCGAATACCAGCATTCAGAGCTTCGGAAGTATGAGCTTCCGTGCCCCAAGGCGAAGAATCGTCGCGAGTGCCTTCAAATGCGGTCGGAGAATAAATCCCGACAAGAGTTGGCGATGTCAGATTCATGATCGATACGTTGCGGCTAACGTTCGTCGAACCGCCTTCGCGCGGGTTCAACAGGTCCGGATTGGCTGGCTCGGCCGGGGAGGAATGCTCTTCGGGGGTGAGGTCGAACGCGCGCCGCGGACGCGGGCGAAGGATCGTGGGCTCATCAGACATGGCAGGCGAGAACGTTGGTGGAAGTATCTCGAGTTTAATAAGAGCTGAGAGATGCAATGAATGGCAATCCGCACAAGAGAGCAAAGCAAGCAATAGCAGGGGGTTCCTTTTCTCGTTGAATGCTGTGAAAAGTTGTGGACGGAGCTCTAAGAAAGTCAGGCTGGCGCTCCAGTGGCTTTTAAAAGTCAGTCCGAGTAAGTAGAAGTCTGGACAGGCCGAATTGCGCTCTGGGGTTTATATGACGATCGTGTCAGCCAACGTTGTGTGCTTCGGGGTGGGGGGTGTGGAAGACGAGCGGCAGAGGATCGGAGAGGAGAAAAGAGAGGGCCAGAGCGTGCTAAATGCTGCAAACACACAGACGGTGGCCAGATATGGAGGGGATGGAAGGAATGCGAGAGGAGGAGGAGAAGAGAGAGGAGAGATTGAACCACAAACCGATTGGGTCACTGAAGACTAACTTCAGCAGCTAGTTTCAACGCCTGGGTGGAGCAGAAGCACAGTACGAGGCTACTCGAGTGTGACCGTGGGTGACCGTGGGTGAGCGATGGGTGAGCGATGGGTGTGGGCTGGTGGTGGAAATAGGGTGCAGGATCTGCAATGGATCGGCAGAACGACGGGCAAGAGGAAGAGGTCTTGATGAATGATACTTGTAAAAGTGAGAATAGTGTCTGGGTATAAGTATATTCTTCTAAAAATATTTCGAACAACCGCAACAATTGAAAGAAATGCGGTTTATTTTCAAGAAAGGGAAGAATAAATACTAGGTAGACTGAGACTCAATACTCACGGCGCACGAAGGAAATAAAATAAATAGGTTTGGTAGGAGGGAGGAGGTAGGAAGCAAGAAGGAAGTAGGAGTAAGTAACTTAGCCCTGAGTAGGAGGTAAGGTACCGTCCCTGTTAATGTTAACTTACCACTCACTCACTGTTATTCAGTCGGGAAGCAAACAAGCAAAAACTCACTTCACCCGAACTCAGGAATGTTGGGGCTCGGGGGAAGTGGAAGGGAAAGAAAGACTCTCAAGGAGGAAAATCCACCGAATCCACCAAAACCCACCCAAATCCACCGCCCCGACAGAGGGGAAGGAAGCCCACCCGCAATAATCACATGCAAATTGACTGACTGACTGACTGTCTTACTCATGCCTACTCCCATCCTAACTAACTAACTAACTAATCATGAAGGAGGGAATCTTCCCAACAACATTTCAGAACCCGAGTTCTCACCAGTACCTAACTAACTCACCAATTCTTTCCAATGCAAGTGCAATGCAAATTGCAGAACCAACAGATATTGGTCCTCAGTAACCATCTTACTATCTTACTATCAGACACACAGTCTAGCATCCTAGGTAGGATACACAACATATTTACTTCCGGGCATGTGATGACGACGGCATGTTCTTTGAAAACTGTCAGGCACAGAACCCCAACCTAGGGTCTTTGCCTCCTTGCGTCCCCGCCTACAGTCCCCGTAACATGTGTCAACGTGCTCGTCCCGATGTCGTCAGGGTGCAGGTGTTGCTGAACTAGCTTCATGCAACAACTCCCAAAATCCGAGAGCCATTCCGACTTTCTACGGTACAGATCCCACCAGGGGGGAAAGAGGGAAGAGAATCGAAGGTTGACCCCACCTCTTTCCCCGCAGTATACCTGCACCCTCGTCCCTCCCCGTCACGCTACGTCCGGGGCAACTCCGATAAGAGCACAGCAGAGAGCGAGCGCATGCTTTTCAAGAATGCTCCCTGATCTACATCATATAAGAAGCTTCAACCAATCCCGAAGGGGGGTATGTAACATTGATGACAGGGAAACTAGAAGGGCAATACATGTGGAATTGAAGTAGAAACATAGATAACCTGTTGGGGGATAATCGTACACTGTAAAACAAGACACAAGAGAGAAAGCGAAAAGAGGGACTCAGGCTTGATGGAGCAGGTAAAGAAAAAGAGTCGAATATGCACTAGAGAACCTTCAATGGCAACAAATGCACACCGGAAGTGGTTTGATGGAGGCCAGGCGCTTGGAAAGCTCAAAGCCCCAACAAAATCCATAGGAAAATGATCAGAGATCAGTCATAGTCTCGTCTTTATCATCCGCTAGAACTGTGTCGCCCTCCGCGCCGGCCACCGAAGAGGTCTCGCTGGCAGCATACCCATTGCCACCTTCGAGCGTGGAAGAGTTCTCGTCAGCGTCCACCTCCGCCTCTCCTTCATCGAGATCTTCGTCATCAACTTCTTCGTCGTCATTGTCATCGGATGAGAGACCTTCCGCATCCTCATCTGCATCGCCTGCCTCCATAAAACTATCCTCATAGCCTGGTTCTGCCGGTCGAGACGTGCGAGCCGCTGGTGTCGGAGCGCCGTCATCATCTCCGCTCCCCTCGCCGAGAAGTTCACGGTCAATGTCGTCTAGTCCTTCCTCACCTTCATCGTCATCGCCCAGGTGGGTCGAGCCAGGCATTGGGGAGAGTTCATGGTCACGACCAGGTGCCTCCAGACCATCCTTGGCCGCGTTCGGGGTAGACGCCACTGCGTCTTCGGCATCGCGCTGGGATCGATTGCGGTTAGCTTTTGACCGTGAGGAGCTTGCAGCGCCTGGCTCCTTGGCGGATGGGGTACTGGCAGCCGCATTGGCGAGTTTGCGCTTGGCGTTGCGAGCAGCACGAGCGCGACTACGAGCGGATGATGGGATGCGCCCAGCAAGATCACCCGAATTGTCCATAGCGAGCCTCATCTCCCTCGCTTTCTGGCGCTCCTCGCGTTCGGCCTTGCGATCACGCCTAGGACCATTGGCATCGTCATAATCCCATCGATCCAAGCGTCTGGCGGCCTTGCGGATCACAGACAAGAAGTAACTAGCACTTTCACCAAAGTCTTCTTCCTCGTCGGGCTTCGGCACCAGTCCACCCTTGCCCCAGGCCTTCTCCTCCTCATCTGTGTCATAGCCTTCCGGGAGATTCGAAAGACGACGACCATAGCGGACAATAGGTACCTCGCTTTCTCGCTTCGCACGCAAAACGCGGTACGCTTCGCTCTTGCGCTTAGCTAGAATGTATTCAATCCGCTGTCGACGGTTCTGCTCGACAGCCAATTGGTGTTGAGTGAGAGGTCGTGGCCGACGGGCGGAGGTGGGCTGGGTGGTTTCTGTAACAAATCGATTCAAGATCGGGTGGCCCGAGCCTGGAGGAGCTGGAGAAGCAGCGTCAGGTGTGTTTTCCATCTTGGTTCTTAAGATGAGACGCTGCTGACCAAGAGAACGGTTGAGAGAAGACTCTCTTTTGGGCCTCTTGGACCGGGAGCGCGCAGACTGTCCGGGAGTTTGATAGTCGTCCTCATCATCTAGTGGATGGCGCTTGGTGGATGGATGCAGAGGGGTGGACATGGTGGACAAGCGACCGTCACCGCGACCTAAATAGCGTGGAAGATTCAGTGGGGCGAGAAAAAGAAATCGATGGATTGAAGTGCTCACCAGACAGATCTCCTGATGCTTCGTCGTCGAGGAGATCAGGCAGGCCTGGCATGTAGGTTAGTGAATTGGCGTTCAGAAAGAGTTCAGAAGACGGAAATCAGGAGCGTGCTGGATACCTTTCTTAGAGCGCTTAGGCACTCTGGGTAGTGGCTCATCGTCTTCCAGGATGCCTGTAGACCGGTGTTAGTATTCTTGTGTTAACCAAGGCAGGATATTCACACTCACGTTTACGTTCCAAGCGCTTGGCTTCACCGTAGTCGAGTTCGGACTGGGTATCCACATTCTCCTCGTTTGCCTGTTCTTCGGTAAGACTCTCAAACTGAGGAACCTTGATAGGCAAACCTCCGGTGCCTTCACCGTCCAGACCGGGACCGAAGGGATTGTCCAGCGCTGCCTGTGCGGAGAAATCACTTTCCAGATACCACCACATCAGCCACAGAAAAGCTTTGGCTCTGCTCCGACTACTGAGTGTACCCCTCATGACCAGGTCAAAGAAGTCACGGGGAGGGAAAAAGTGCATTTCCGACACCTTAGGGGCATATTGGGCCAGGACAAAGATCAGATTGACGGGGTTTGTGCGGGGTTTTGCCTGACGCTTGATTCTGTCCAGCGTGTTGGGCTGGTCAACATCTTCAGATGCGCCTTTGAGAATCGACTTGAGACGAGGAGCATCTTGCAACTGCTTGTAGGCATTAGGGTCCTGTGTCGCTTGCAGAGAAGGAATGGAGTGATAGGTCCGCAACTGAGCACGCATCTCGGGGAAGACTAGGAAACATGTCAGCGTCATTGTCCATGTAGAGCGCACGAGAGTAGAAGATAGGACTTACAATTGAGTGTGGTGTTCATGCGCCCGAAATTGACCAGCAGACAAACCATAGCCATGCTGATGGCCGCCTTCTTGTCACTCTGCAATTTATCCTTCAGGATCTTACTCGTCTTGCTGCTTCTCGCCATAGCATCGATGTAGATATCGGCAAAGTCCAGGCCTTTCACCCCATCAGGCCAGCGAGTGAAGACCGGGGTTGTATCCTCGAAGACAAGCTTGAGAAACTGATACTGGATGTCCTTACGCCATAGAGGAATCCCATCCTCCTTCTTTAGGTGCCGGATTTTGTTTCCCGAATAGACCGAGCCGATCGTACCATTCGCCTGTCGCCTAATGCCGACTGTCATGTTATGGGTTTGCTGTTCGTCGGGGGCCTCGGACTGCGCCAACGACTCGTCCGCGACGCTGCTCTCGACCTCCGCCATCTTCGAATCGGGAAGTGACGGGACCGGTCAAGCTATGTCCGTGCAGTGGGTAATGAGTTTTCGTGATTGATCGATGTGGCTTTGGTTTCCTGTGTTACCACGGTGAATAGCAGATGGTGCAAAAGCAAGGAGTCGAGAGTAATGGGTTGGATGGGACGACCGATCGATAAGTAATGGACGCGGACGTTCAAGGAAGGACTCGATGAAGGACTTATAACTTTCAAAGCAGCCGAAAGGATTGTTAGAGAAAGGGAGGTAGCCAGATGAAAATGCGCAAATTAAGAAGGAAGGGTGACTGGCGACAGTGATAAGAGGAATTGAGAGGAAGTGAGTAAGTTGACAAAAGAGAAAAGAAAGCTGGGTGAGAATGGCGTGGGAACGTGATCCGCGATGGTGATCTTCTTAATTGATTGGGGGCCCATTAACTCCCCCGGCCGGGAAGTTACAAGACGCGGGTCTGACTAATGATTCACTCTAACTAACTAACTATTCACTCACATACTCAAAATAAAATTATTATCACTGGTCACCAGCAGCAGATAACAATACCATAGAACAGTATCGGGATAATGAGTCTATTCAGTGTTCTATCGATTGTTCGATATGTAGTGGTAAGAAGACCCTGCCCTATCCCGGCTCCTTACTATTTATATGGTCAGACATACATGCTACGACGGTGGTCCCCATTATTCATCTTTCCGATGTTAACTTCAGTTCCAGATATTGTAGGTGTATCCTGAATTCTAGATCAAAGAAAGATCAGAAGAAGTCTCCGGCTGGAGACTATTCTACCAAGAGTGTTATGTTACCAGCTGAATCACATGGACTCTGAAAATAGCCATAACACCCCACAGTTCCTCATTGACTCCATATAGGATCACTACGACATGGGCTTAGAAGAGAACCCAAGGCACATGAATATGACTCAAACTTTTTTTTTTGTTCAGGCAAGGAGTAAATAGCTAGTAGCTTTCTGTGTATGAGACACATCAACAAGAGAGTTGGCCTCGAATTGCTACCGACCTGAGAAACCATGAACACCCCACAAAGTAGCGCCGTCTAAAGCAGCGTATCCTCCACGGATCCGAGATATGAAAACAGAAACAAGGAGATCCCATCCAGTGTCAGCCTCCACGGACCCCGGTGCAGAGAATCATTTGGTGCACACAGTAGCTCAAGCCAACGCCATACACAATGCAAAAAGCAGATCAGAGAGAAACCACCTCTATCGGCTCCATCTGTCTGTGATACCAGTAAAATACCATTCCCAGATATGCAATAACCGAGGCACCAGTGCCCGCGGAAAGAAAAACGAGGGACAGGCTTCCGAGAGAAAGCTCTGGCTCAAATCCATGGCACAAGACCAGTTGCGCAACCCGGGACAGACCATTCCAGACTGAAGGAAATCACCCAGCCAGGAAGAGAAACAGAGGTAGATAGCAAATCACAGTGATGGAAGGAAAGAAATGGCATGTGGAAATCCGCCATGAGATACCGAAACTGAAAAAAATCTATGTTGCGAGACACGGTCGATGCAGTTGATTAGCACCAAGCAGGGAACAACTCATAAAAGCACTTTTCAGAGCACGAAAAGCCGGCACACCTGCTCGGCACGCGTCTTTTCAAGCAGATCTCCACAGGGCCGCCCGAGAACAAAAAGGGTATCTTGATGGAAGCGGTCACAGGAGAAACACAAACGCATTCTATGACATCCATGCCCGACCCAAATGCTCTCGATTAAGAAGGTCATAACCAGGAGCAGCGAGAGGAGGAGATCGGACCGCATCGAAAACCCATGTCTAAAAACAAGGAAAATAACAAAATGCTCTGCGGTAGATAAAATGGATAAATGAAAACACCGGGACATCAAACGAGAAAAAAGACATCAGACAGTCACATGTAAGAGAGAGAGAAGGGAAAAGAAAAAGTCTAGAGGGAAGTCGTGGCAGTCATGACAAAGCCGGCCCGAGAAGAAGAGAGAGAGTGGGAGGGAGGAAGAGAGTAGAAGGTGGGCCCGGGGCTCGTTCTGATCATGTCCGTTATTTGGGACAGACAAAGAAGAGACGAAAGGAGCCAATCAGACCCGACAGCCTCGTCAGAAATCACAACTTCGAATTTACCACCAGGACGAAGGTCCGGTAGGGCCCGAAGGGTTTCCGTAGCTACCACCGCCGCCACCACCGCCGCTGTAGCCGCCGTAACCACCACCGCCGCCGCCGCCGCCGTAGGAGGGGGGACCGCCGAAGCTGCCACCACCGCCGTAGCCACCGCCAGGGGCACCGTAGCTGCCACCGCTACCACCGAAAGAGCCGCCGCCGCCCATACCGCCACCGCCGCCCATGCGACGCATGTCACGGGTAGCGTTGGCACCGCGGCCGCGACCGCCACGACCGCCACGGCCACCGTATCCGCTGCCCTCACGAGCAATGCTCTCAAGGAAGGAGGGAACCTCCTGGTGAGCTTCCTTGAGAAGATCAATCAAGTCACGGACGACACCACGGTTACCACGGTTGAAGAAAGCAGTAGCGATACCAGTGTTACCGGCACGACCAGTACGACCGATACGGTGGACATAGTCGTCAATGTCGGTGGGCAGATCGTAGTTGATAACGTGGGTAACGTTGGGAATATCAAGACCACGAGCAGCAACAGCAGTAGCAACCAGGATGGGGCAACGGCCGGAGCGGAACATCTCCAGAGCACGCTCACGCTCACGCTGGGTGCGGTCACCGTGGATAGCAGTGGCGGGGAAGCGCTGGTTGAGCAGGAAGTCGGACAAAGAATCGGCCATACGCTTGGTCTCAACGAAGATCAGAGTGAGACCGCTGGTGCCGTGGGTGTGGAGGATATCGAGCAGGACGGAGCGCTTGTCGTGGTCCTCAACATATTCGACCTTCTGGGTGATGTTCTCGGAGGTAGAACCAACACGACCAACGGACAAGAAGACGTAGTCCTTCAAGAAGTCACGGGCCAGCATCTGGATGTCACGGGGGAAAGTGGCAGAAAACATCAGAGTCTGACGTTCGTTGACGTGAGGCATATCCTCGCCCTCAACGATACGGCGGATCTGGGGCTCGAAACCCATGTCCAGCATGCGATCAGCCTCGTCAAGAATGAGGTACTTGATGTTGACAAGGGAGATACGACCACGCTCAATCAGATCGACCAGACGACCGGGGGTGGCCACGAGAAGATCACACCCACGCTCAATCTGACGGAGCTGAGAACCAATATCGGCACCACCGTAGACAACGCAAGGGCGGACCCAGGAGCGGTAGGCGAACTTGCGGGCTTCATCGAAGATCTGGGAGACAAGCTCACGGGTAGGAGCCAGAATGAGGGAGGTGGGGTAAGCCTTACGCTGACGGCCATAGCTGAACTGACCGGAGGCCTGAGCGGGAGCCGCAGAGGGACCGTGCTGGAAAGCCTGAGACAGGATGGGGAAGAGGAAACCACCAGTCTTTCCGGAACCAGTCTGAGCGCAGGCCATCAAGTCGCGGCCGTTCATGACGATGGGGATGGAGTACTTCTGGACGGGAGTAGGGGTCTGGTAGTAGGCCAGCTTGATGTTGGCAATCAGGTGGTCATCCAAAGGAGGGTTTGTGAAGGTGTTGACGGGCTCGGGGACGTCGTGGCCGGAGGCCTCGACGGGGATGTCATCGTAGTTGGCGAAGTTGATACCCGTGTTCTGCTTGGTGGGATCGTTGGGAACACCGAACAGTTCACGTTCCAAGCGGGGGTTGGCAGGGCCGGGGATGTGCTTGCCGTCGCGCCACTGGCCATCTCCGGAGCCGCGGGCAGAGCCACCGGAGCTACCGCCATAGGAGCCTCCGTGTCCTGGGTTTCCGTAAGCATCTGGGTTAAAGGGCCGGCGTTGACCGTCTTGGGATGTCCAGTTAGGGTTACCATTGGAGGGACCGCGAGGGCTGAAGTCAGGAGCGTTAGCGTTAGCCCAGTTTCCACCACGAGGGCCTCCTCTGTCATGTCAAAAGCATACCAAGTCAGCGGCTGTGGACAGTTCTGAGGAGGCAACCTATTTCGTGCCACCGAGAACGAGTGGAATTATGGGAGGTGGGAGATATCACATACCTGTTACCCCAGGAGTTGTTGGCAGCGGGACCGGGAGGAGGAGCGGCGGCGGCAGCAGCAGCAGGAGCAGGAGCAGGAGCGCCGTCCATGTTCGCACCCATCGGGCGTCCACGAAGGTGAGGAGGGATGTAGGCAGCGCGACCCGTGTTGGCGGGAGCAGCGGGCGCATGCTGAGATTCGTTAAGGGAAAGGTTTCCCATCTTCAAACCGTCGGCCATATTTGCGGTGTTTCAAGGGCTGAATGAGACAGATGAATTCGTAAGTGGATTGTTTTGCAGTTGTGGCGCAATTGTAGCCGGGGGGTGTGTAAGACGTACAAGAGGAAAATTCTCAATGCTTTTTGTTTCGCGAAGATATCAAAGTGATGCAGCGATTACAGGTTGCTGTCCAGAATCGCGTCCGATGTAGGATTCCTTTTCTTTTCTGTATAGGAACAGGACGAAAGGAATGAGGACGTCAGATAAAAAAATTCCGTGTCTCTATTGAGTGGCAATACACAAGAGACCGAATAAGACAGCAAGTGACACAGTGTCAAAAGACGAAAGAAAGGAAAAGAGAGACCTTAGAGGGAGAATTTGATAAAGTGCAAAACAAGGCGATCTCCCAGATCTAAACCTCTATTACGGTGTAGCAACAAAAAAGAAGAAGGAAAAAAGGTGGAAGAGAGGTGGTAGGAGAGTTGGTGAGGATACGGTGTGGAGATATGTTAGGAGGAGGGGGGGAGGAGTAAGAAGAGAGGAGAGGAGAGGGAAAAAATTGAAACCAGATTTGGATTTTAGCAGCGGAGGGAGAGAGAGGGGGGGGGGGGGGATGTGGGTGGTATTTTTTGGTTTGAAGTAGTAGTTAAAGAAGGAAGAAGAAGAGAGTTTTTTTTTTGTGGGAAGAGATTTGAAAAGAGGCAAAGAAAGGATGACTACGAATTCATTGATTAAAAATCATCATATGTTAACTGCTTGACTACTTCTTTTCACATTTGCTGCATGTAACTACTGGACAATTATCAGGTGTGTGTGTGTAGGTAAACAGCCACCTTCGACCATTCTTCCTCTCTTGTCACTTTTTTTGTGCCTACCAAGTAAGAATCTTCAAGGCTGTTCAGCGGTTAGCATTGAACGGGTTGGCTTGCTTATTGGGGGAACCGACTGGACCCAGAAGGGGGAAAAAGGTTTAACGTGTAAATTTCAACGAAGCGAAGGGAGGAGAGGTGACCAGCAATACAGCCATGTAAATAAAAAAAAAAAAAAAAAAAACCAAAAAATAAGAAAAGGAAGAAAAGGAAGAAGAAAAAAAGAAAAATTCGTACCAGACCCCAGCCAAACACGGACACGGTGGCGGCGGGAGGGTTCCAACTTGTTTTGGCTGTGCTGCCGATAAGTGAGTTAGCCTCCGGGCTGGACCCCAGTCCAAACGAATGCACTGCGTTAGTAGTACTAGTTTGCGCTGATGTTGGCTGCTTGTCTATCTCTTTCATCAAGATGTTATGTTGACTTGATTACAGTACATACGAGTAGTAAGTAGATTTCCTAAGAACATCAACAATCCAAATGATTTTCTATCCTATGGGTTTCTCTGAGTCCTTTCTACTCATTAAGTCAAATGCACCAAAGGATAACTGACTATCTTGCAATACATACATCATCCTAGACCGATCATGACTGAGCCAATCTGGAGGGGGCGAAAAAAAATCTTGGGGCGGCGGCGAAGCCTTAATGATGACGCCTCAGGCAGAGAAGCTAAAAGATGTTCCAGCGTTACGGGTACGGAGGATTACCGCGAGCAACTGAGAATAATCTCCCGTGACGTATCTGCTTAGTCGTATAGCCAAGTCGCCTCCTTGCCGCCGCTTCATCACTCGACACATGTGTACCCACAGTAAACGCGTGTATACAATGTATCTCTACGAGAATGGTTGAGAAAGTACTCGAAGATGGCTTGCTTCTAGCTCACGCTTTACGCACTCAGTCGTACCACCACTTTAGTATAGGATGTCGTATCTCATCTCCTCGACCACCCTGGACCATGTAGTTACATCTTGGAAGTACTGTATCTCCACAGTGTGGTGTATGTCTTTCATCCGTTTGTCCCTTGCCTTCGACAACGTGATGGCAACATCGTCACGCTCACCTGCAGCTTAGTCAATTAAAAACAAGGCGGAAATATCCAATCATCTATCCACACTTCTCAGAGCGAGTCTATATAGTGGTTCGGCTGCTAGGATCCTGCCATCATCGTGCATAAGGGTACAAGGCCGACAGCTCCTGGTCGGAAATATCGAAGTACATAGTACGGTGTCCAAGGCAAGATGTGACATTGGCGATGCTATTAATAAATAGAATGGGGATCAAACGTACTTGTGGCCAAATCCTTGGATGAGAACTGTGGTGGCATGGTCACCGCTCCCATCGAAATCTTCAGCTCGTGTGCGCTTGTCTCTCGTACAGCGACAAAACCCATATTCTGCGCTCCAGAGGCAAGTGAAAAGGCGCGGCTATCGCTTGAATCATGCCCAGAGCTGGTACCATACCTTGACGGAGGCTCATGGCATGATCCTGGGCCGCATGACGTGGTACGGAGATTATACAGCGAACCTTTCCACGTCGCTGCAGTGCTGCATTCAAAAGCAATGGACTCTGCTGGCCAGAATGGGAATGCATTGTAATACTTGGGGGGTTCGCCAACATTATCAAAGGTTCGACCCATCAAGGACGGGTTCAAGATAAAGCAAGGGCCTCCCTCATATGTCCGAGTGCCTGGTCGAAACTTGAATGGTCTTGAAATTCTGACCGACTTCTTCGTGATAACTTGGTAAGACTTGTTGGCAGTCTATACTTGCAGGGCTGAGACGTGTTACGTATTAGTTAGTTATAAGAAGACCGGTGAGTAAGCACGGCCGAGTGGCGGCGTGTGCATCAAGGGTTACAAGCTACTAGATAGCGGGATCTATAAATTATCGAACACAGAGGGATGGAATCATGGTTGCACTAGTTTTTTGAATGATTATAGTAAGCTATGGAGTACGAATCCGTTGCTGCATGGCGGAGCGTCCGTCATCGATTTTAAACAACACTTCTCTCAGCCTTCTCTCGCTGTCCTGGGGTGCTGCGCTTGATCAAGATCAGCAGCAGGCCAACGACAAGAGCGAGGGCCGCGATTTTCGGGTAAATATAAGGGTAGCTGTCAGAAGTGATGAGGGAGGCAACCGCAGGAGCCACAGGAGTTGCCGAAGGTTGTGACGGGATCTCCGAGATCATTTCTTCTTTACACAGCAGATATCAGCACATCGCAGACTTTACTCTTCTAGAAGCAAGCGCAGACCGCAGGAAGGCCAGTCTACAACTCCTCGTGGCTGCTACCTTTCTCTTCAGCCTTCTCCTCCACCGGCAGCTCGCCGCTCTTCACGATCTTGACCGTCTCCACGGGCTTGTCGCCGCGGCCCTTGGGCACGTTCTCAATCTGTGCGACAAATTCGTAACCCTCGAGCACCTCGCCGAAGACAACGTGACGGCCGTCGAGCCAACTGTTTCGAGGGAAATCAGCAAGCGGCTACGTTGTTGTGGGGAAGGATGAAACTCACGGAGTGGGGACAGTGGTGATGAAGAACTGAGATCCGTTGGTGTCCTTGCCGGCGTTGGCCATGCTCAAAAGACCCTTGCGAGTGTGCCTAAGCTTGAAGTTCTCATCCTCGAACTTCTCGCCATAGATGGACTTGCCTCCGGTACCTAATTGTTTTTGTCCACAATCAGCATTGGACTCATCGCACGCAACCAAGAATGACAGGACATGACCACTGACCATCACCGCGAGTGAAATCACCACCCTGAATCATGAAGTCCTTGATGACACGGTGGAAAGTAGAACCCTCATAACCGAAGCCCTTCTCACCGGTAGCGAGAGCCCTGGAAGTAAGTAACGTCAGTGGTGATCAGGAACCTAGCTGGAGCAAGGCCCAGAGTATCATACCGGAAGTTCTCAGCGGTCTAGGATGGGGAATTGAGTTAGCATTGAGTCCGGCTACAAACAGAGCTGCGTGGTGAATATCCACATACCTTGGGAACAGTCTTGCCGTACAGACCAAGGACAACTCTGCCCAAGGGCTTATCGCCATGCTCGATATCGAAGTAAACCTGCATTAAGCATCAATCAGCACCCATTGTCCCGGAACATGGAATAATCCAGCATCCTTGAGGGCAAGCGCTCAAGCTCATAGCTCGCATCTCATACCTTACTGGTAATCTTCGGGCCCCGAGGCTTGGCCTCTTCGGCGTGTACGAGGGCGAACCCGACCGCCAGGACCAAGAAGAAGGACAGGAAAAGGTTTCTGAAGTTCATGGTTACTGAAGAATGACTTCAAAAAACTGAACCTCGAATGCAATTGTCTGGGGGTAAGATGAAGGAAGGCACAGTCGCAGACAACTGAGGAGAGAAGCAATTGGACCGCATCGAGGCCAGCTTGCATTACTTTCCTGGCCTACTGCGGAGGTGCCAAGCCCATCATTCCTGATCCAGTAAGATGCATGATATCCAAGGTTCCGAAAGCGCAGTGCTAGTGGTGGTAAGAATGTGTAATTTGCGGTTCGTCGATAGGGTATAGTACCGGTATCCATACATTCTGCCCAGCTCCTGCCCAGCAATAGGGATGGATGGATAACGTTATCATCCGGCCAAGCGTCACAGCATCTTGAAACTTACCGTCATTTGCCCCGGAGAAACTTTGTTACTGGCGGATTTTCTCCCGCGCTCAATCATCGCGGCGGGCAGTTGAGAGAGAGCCCCGGCAGCGCAAGCAACGAGATCGAGCTCCCATCGCAAGTTCTTTTTTTTTCTTCTTCTAAAGCCAAAGGCTTTTGTACTAGACAAGATGGTAAAGAAAACGTGTCTGCCAATTGAGCTCCGCACCCCGCTAACACTCTCTATCAGGTCTTCATCCTAGGCGTCAACTTCCCCGAGCGGAACCTCGTCAAGGCAAGCAAACGTGCATTAATCGAGTCAACCTTCCCCTCTGACCGCAATCCAGAAATCCCTCGAGTCATTCTTCGGCATCGGTAACCACACCTCCTCGCGCCTCCTCGCCCGCTTCCACATCCACCCAGCATGCAAGGTCGGCGAACTGGGCAACAAGCAGGTCCTTGATATCACGGCCGCCCTGTCCGACATGAAGATCGAGAACGACCTCCGCAGACAAGTCATCGACAATATCAAACGGTTGAAGGAAACCGGTACCTACCGTGGTCGTCGTCATGCGCTGGGGTTGCCCGTTCGGGGACAGAACACACGAAGCCAGGTGGGTGGATTCCTTTCCGTCACTAATCCCCTGCCTTTTCATGGGAAGGGTGTATTTTGCGGGCTTCGACTCTGCTTTCAGGAGAGCATGTCTGTCACCGTTGGGACTATCCGCTAATATCGGGGACCCTACAATAGATCAAGAACGCTGTCAAATTCAACCGTATCGAGAGACGACTTGGTTGAGGCGATGGGTTTCTGTTTCGATTGGCGAGTCTTGCGCTTGGCTCTTTTATCGTGAGGGCATGGATTGGCGTTATCATTTTTTCTCTTTCTTGCTGTACTCTGTAACCTGTATATTTTCCACTAGAACCACCCCAAGCCCATCTTCAATATCCGATGGCATGTATCACATGTAGACAAATGAAATGTCTGATTACGAACTGCGGATCTAAGCATTGTGTTCCGAAGAAGCAATTAGTGGTGTATTGCTAAAAGATATGCCAACTCATACAAGTGGACTCCTCCGATAGAAGCCAAATACCGAACTTTTTCATCCTACAAATGAAAGAACGCCAGAACCATATGTGCAACACTTTGCTTCACGCGGAAGACAGAACACCCTCTCCCCGATTGATCTGGATCCTCTTATCCTCACCGGCGCTGACAATGCCGACAGAACGATCCCAACACACGCCAAAGACCTTGACCCCTTCGCCACCCACGCGCTTGGCGTCGGCTTTGCCCGCCTCCTCAAGGCTCTTCCGGGTGATCGAGTAGACGCTTTCTCCAACAACACCATCCTTGTCTGTCTTGGTGGCACGGATATCCCAGATGCGGCACGTACCATCATGGCTACCACTGATGAGGCCGTAGCTGCTGTGGGGATCGCGAGACAAGGAGACCACAGCGTTCGTGTGGCCGCGGAGGGTCATGGCAGAGATAGTTGTCGCCGAGACACGGGGGTCAATGAGAGTGATGTGGCGGGCGGAAGTTCCTGTTGCCAGGAGGTGGTGCTCGGGGAGATGTTCGAGGGAGAGAAGCGAGTGGGACGTTGACCGAGTGTCGACAAGTGCCGCAGTGACCAGATCCCACGTGCGGAGAGTATGATCCCATGAAGTTGAGTAACCGACAGTTGAGTCTTTGGCATCGAAGATGGCGGCCGATACTGGAGCGGTATGGGAGGAGAGCAGAGCCAAGGGTCCGCGCTGAGGAGTGCTGATGGAGGAGTTCAACTTTCTTCTCTTGGAGTTTCTAGAGGCGGCAGAGGGCAGTAGATTCTCCGGGGCGGCCGGGGCGTCTGATTTCTTAGCGGACCAGAAACCAACAGCGTGGTCGGAGGAGGCGGTTAAAATGCGGTTCGAAGGCGCATGCACGGCCAACGAGTTGATGCCGGACTTGTGACCGTACAACTCAAGCTGAGGAGCGATCTTCCCAGAGAACCCGTCTTCGCTCTCAGCGTACTTCCACAGACGCACAGTGCGATCCAGACCGGCCGAGACGATCGAGTTGGGAGACAAGAATTTGGCAGCCTTGATGGATGCGCTGTGTCCACCGTCTACAGCAGACGGGGAGGTCGCAACTACCTGAGAAGACATATTCCACACCCGAAGCAAGCCATCGTAGCTAGCGGAGAGGATTCTTTCTTGGCCTGGAGAGATCGATGACGATGCCCAAGAGGCAGCAGATGATGTCGCAGAAAGCACGTCCACGGCGCTAACCCAATCGTCATGCTCAAAAGAGGCGATGTGAAGTGGAGGAATCAAGGCTCTGATATACTCGATCTCCAGAGTCGTTTCAGCGGAAATGCCATTGGCGGTCAAATATTCATCGATGGAAGTGCGGAGGAATGCTCCGTTGATCAGGAACTCGAAAGGTACCGGCTTGTCGTTCGCCAGCAGGTTGTTAACTAGCGTCGAGAGTGCATATCTGCGCAGACCTACGAATCATGAAAATATCAGCATTGTGAGGCTGGCGCATCAATGACTTAGCAGGTAATCTCACCAGTAGGAACCAAGATAGGGCCGGTATTCTCAGGAAGCGCAATGTCTTCCTGTTTGCTGACAAGCTGCACACGCACCTGTCTCTGCGCACTCGCAGCAGACGAAGAATCCTGAGTCCCGTTCATATTTGAGACTGATTTACCAGAAAAGATAGGGTATATTATGGGACTGTGGTCAGAGGCGCACTTCGTCGCCGTTGAGAAAACTCCGCCGAGAAAGAAGAAAAAGTACGGCGGGCGATGCGGCCAGATGTGCAAAGCGCGGAGATCCCCCGCGACCGCCTTCATGCTGATAACAAGCAATATACTCAGTAGACCTACACAAACAAAGACCAAATCGAAAGGTATTTTTATTTCCCTCGTACACGGTCTCATATATACACAGATCTTCCCTGTTCCAACTTATCTCCATTGACTCCTAGATTCCCGTCGGATGTCCGCAAGCGCTTTCCGCCGATACTCGGATTCGGCGAACAGCGCCTCGATCAGGTCAATGACTTCTTCGGGCGAGAACTCCAGGCGTAGTTCTCCTTCAACCCAGAGAAATCTTATATCGGCCAGCGAGCTCTCGAGAATATTGATGAGATATTGGAATTTGAGCCAAGTTGGCACATAGACCGCCGTCATGGGTACACGCTCAGTATTGTCTTTTGCTTCGGGCATGAACAGCTCTTCCAACTGGGAAACTTGGTTGCAGAAAGATACAAGTCGTTGCGACTGGGGCTCTGAGATGTCACCCAAGTCTTCGATCTCGATGATCATCTTGCTGATCACGGTCGAGACCAAGGATCCGATTGACTGAAGAAGGGCTGAGTGCGATAAAATCGGCTGCCATTCTGCATAGACACTCCGAATTCTGTCAACGGTGGCAGCGACCGCATTCTCACATTCGCTCAGATACGGTTGCTCAGAGCACTGGCTGAATCCTTGGGCGCCGTCGAGAAGATCGGTCACAATGGTGCGCTGGGTTTGCATCTCTTTGCTATATGCGAGTTTGCCAAATTTCTCCATCGCATCAATGTCGGTTTGCAATCGTGTAAGCTGGTGCGCCTCCATGATGGTACGTATTTCGCCAGCAAGATACTGAGTATCATTGTAAAGATACATTTGCCCAGCATTCAATTTATGATCATAGAAGGATGAGGCAGTGGCCTTGAACATGGCGAGGATCAAGGTTGGGAGTGCAAGCAGCCCCGTTCCAGACGATACCACGCGTGAATGTGAATGTCTGAAATGTATTAGCATGGAAATCAACTGCCTTAATGCATATAGAAACTCACTCAGGCTGAGTTATAGCTTGGGAATCAACGATCTGTTGTTTTATGATATCCACGAGGGAATGAGGTATATCCGTGATAGTGTATCTTTCGGTCAGAGTAACCTCCCTCGAAGAAGTAGGCTGCCTTGCACTTTTGCCGTTGGCGTGCTGACTGGCTTGCGACTTTCCGGGCTGTGGTTGAGCGACGGTCTGGTCATCATCATCGTCATCTCCCCAGCCCCAAGCGTCACCGGCATCGTCTTCAGCTGGAGCGCCTACTTGAGACTTCGAGTTTTGTTCCTCGGTGTCATCGTCATCGAGCCCCCATGCACTCACGTCCTCTTCGTCGTCTTGAGTTTTAGAAACCTTGCCTTCACCTTCACCTGCATTGTCATCATCCCAGCTGGCATCCCAATCATCGGCTGGAGCGTTCTCCAATAGCGTGTCATCTTGCTCAGATACTACCTCCACTTCAACCTTTTCCACCTGCTTTGTGGTGCCTTGGCTCGCAGCGAGGACTTTACGAACTTGGTCCAGAGAGTTGACCCTCCGCTTGGCAAGCCAGAGTCGAGAAGCTTGGTTCACCCAAGAAGTAAGTTCTTCATAGCCATGCCAGCCCAAGTCCTCCACAGACTTTGTGAATTTAAGGACACAATCCAGGGTATGCTCGAAGTCTTGAAGCCCTCCCAGCTCGATGGGGATGGAGGGTGACAGCCACAATTTGATCATCTTCGAGGACAATGAGGGAATCAGCGAGTCCGAGAATGAGTCGACAACGGAGGTTGGTACAGCCTGTCGCAAGAAACCAAGAAGGTTGCTTATGTGTCCGAGGACTTCAGGAACTGAGGTTTTCGATGCTTGCGACTCCACCTGAACTGAGGATTCAGAAATCAGAATCCCGCGGCTTTGACCATCAACGCCTCGCATCAAGGTTGGGTCTATTAATGCAATCATTATGTCTTTTGCAAACTTGTCGCGCGCAGTGACGAATATCTCCATTCTGTTTAGGGCTGCGATCGTTTCTTCTAGGCGGTCACCTGCGATTTGAATTAGAATAAATCGAATGAATCAGTTGGCAATCAGGTTTATCAGGGGTTATTACCGTCTTTTTGAACTGTTAACTTCCCTTCCCGTCTTTCAATCTTCAGCTGCTCATTCCATTGAGAAAGAATGACATCAACGACCTGCTTTCGCAGACCGGCGACATTCTCCAACAAGACGTGCAAGACGTTGGTGTTCGCAAAGTGATTATTTTGTCTCATTGCAAGCTCAGCTGCCTCTAGCGTGTCGATCACAGCCATGATCCGGCCCTCTCCCAGTGCTGACCGACCATCTTCCAGCTGCCGGCAGAGCCCCTGCACCTCCTCCAGAGCACTGGTCACCGCATGATTGAAAGCAATTTCAGTCTCAATCAATCCGACCTTCGCAGCAGCATCCTCCACCTTCAGCTGTAGAGGAGTGGTATTCTCATGTTGCTTCACGATGTCTCGGGCAGTGATCCTGGAGCGCTCGATGTCTGCATGAAGTTGTTTCGCTTGGGAGATCCATCCGTCCGCATCAAAATTGTTCTCGCGACTGAGAGAGTTTATTTCGACCTGTCGAGCAATTGGGATGGGCATTAGCAGGACTCAGATAAGCTGGATCTGATGCGGGGCTCACGTCTCGAATCATCAACTCACCTCAACTTGTTCTCTAGCTTTGGAGATCAGATCTAATTCCTTAGACAGTGCAGAGACAGGAAACTCGGCCGCAATGATCTTTTCTGAGGAAGGATAAGTGCCGTCAGTCACGAAAGTAAGGACCGATTGACAGATCCCCTCCTCTGAAATCTTGCCGGGCATCTTGTACCGTGTCCTTCGCGGGCCAACAAGCTAGGGGAAACCGTCACAGAGATGGCACAAATTAGGAAGCGGTTGCTTTATTATGCTGATCCGACTGATGCCAGCCTTGTATCTCAGACGGAAATCCCTGGAGCGAGCAACAAGGAAATAGTCGAAGTACTCCGTATAGCACCTGCAACAGGAAAAGGAATTATTGAATCGATCAACAACAACCACCACCACCACTACCATGTGACCTCACCGCTCACCGCCCTGGCTGCGATAGACGGAGATGGAGCAATGCGATCAGCTCGAACTACTCCCCACCCGACTGATTCATGCAGCCTTCGTTTCACTGCGCTCTTCATTCGTGGGTCTTGATCCTCGGGCTTACGATTTCGCAGTGTTTTTCAGGAGGTGTGTTGTCGTCACGTCATAGGCCAATAGCCATTACCAACTCCAGTGGCATGGTTGATCTCCGAGGTCTACGACAGACTGTATCAGATATCGGGACCCAAAACTCCACTCCGAACCGTCGCAGTCCAGTTTGAGTTCAACCTTTTCTCAGCAGCCATCAGTGCTCACGACACTTTTCTCTGAAAATCCCCTTTAAAGAGACACTGCTATCAAGCAGAGCCCACCGTGTCGCCACTGTTTCTCTCACGGAGCCTGATTCGGGCAACCTCTTCTCTATTCATGTAAGTTCATGTCGCTACCCTTCGCTTGATTTTGAGACAAGAAAAAGAAAAAAAGAGCCCAAAACGTGCCCCTCCGCCACTGCCGTTATCATCAGACCTGTTGGTACGGACCATGGTCATTGTCAGCCGCTGTTACTGTTATGCAAATATCTTCAATCACAAATTACCGCATGATTAGCATTCTCCCGTGCGAAGAAAAAACGTGCATCCATCTTTCCAATCACAATGTTTTAACCCCGGAGCATTGCTAGCTTCTATTATACTATCTTAAAACCCCTCGTTGGGCGTAATATGACACAGGGGGTCAATTATGGCGTGCTGACAGTTCACTAGTTCCTCGACACGGGGAGTGACCACAACTTATCCCCGCAGGTTCGCAGGGTCGGCTTTCAACATGTCACCAAGCCAGAAGGGTCACTTCAAGCTCCTCCAGAGGTTCAAGCCGGACTACTCGCCCAGCGAGTTTGTTCAGTATGAGTCAACGAGGACTGGCATGAGGGTCGTGGTCATCGACCAGAAGGGTCCTAAGGTCACAGGATATTTTGTCCTAGCTACTGAGATCCACGATGACTCAGGAGCTCCCCACACGTTGGAGCACTTGTGCTTCATGGGGTCGCGGAATTACAGATATAAAGGATTCCTAGACAAACTCGCAACGCGAGTGTACTCTAGCACTAATGCATGGACTGCCACTGACCACACGGCTTACACGCTGGACACAGCGGGCTGGGAGGGTTTCGCTCAGATCTTACCCGTGTACCTAGAGCATGTGATCGCCCCGACCTTGACTGATGAAGGGTGCTATACTGAGGTCCACCACATCGATGGGGCTGGAAACGATGCAGGCGTGGTCTACTCAGAGATGCAAGGAGTACAAAACAACTCCGCCGAATTGATCGACTTGACTGCCCGTCGGTTGACTTACCCGGAAGGTGTAGGTTTCCGTTATGAGACTGGTGGTATGATGGAGCAGCTTCGTGTTCTCACTGCGGAGCGTATCCGAGCATTCCATCGTGAGATGTATCAACCAAAGAACCTGTGTCTGATCATCACGGGTGAGGTAGATCATGAGAACATGCTGAGTGTTTTGGACAAGTTTGAAGATACCATTCTAGATGTCATCCCTAGCCCAGATGCGCCGTTCACCCGCCCTTGGGTGGATTCTAAGCAGGCACCTCCGTTGGAGAAGTCCACCGTACAGAGGGTTGAATTTCCGGAAGAAGACGAGTCTTTTGGAGAGATTGAGATCAGGTTTCTTGGTCCTGATTGCATAGACCCCGTTAACAGTAAGTCAAGGCTCATTCTGCAGTGTAAAGACCGAATACTTACGATCGATAGCTGGGGCTGTCAACGTTGCCCTGTTGTATCTGGCTGGATCGTCTGCTTCGCTGCTAGACAACATTTTGGTGGAGAAGGAGCAGCTCGCCAGCGCAGTCTATTATGCCACCGAGGACCACCCCAGCATCGAAATCCGTTTCACTTTGACTAGTGTTGAAACGAAGAAGATTGCTAGGGTGGAGCAGCGTTTCTTCGAGGTTCTCAAGGATGCAATGGAGAAAGAACTTGATATGAAATATCTTAGGGAATGCATCGACCGACAACGGCGGACTTGGAAGTTCTCGACAGAGACGTCAGCTTCCTCCTTCGCTGAGTATGTGATCTCTGACTTCCTCTTTGGAAAAAGGGACGGGTCCACCATGCTCGATGTCGCGAGCCTGAAGGAGTACGACGTGCTGGAGAAGTGGAGCGAGGAAGATTGGCGCAGCTTCATCAAGAGATGGATTTCTGACGCCAATCACGTCACAATCTTGGGTGTTCCATCCTTGAAGATGTCTGAGACTCTCAAAAAGGAGGAAGAAGCCCGGGTTGCGGAGCAGAAGAAACGACTGGGTGAGGATGGTTTGAAGAAGCTCGCAGACAAGCTTGAAAAAGCCAAGGCCGAGAACGACAAAGAAATCCCTAAAGAAATGTTGGAGAAGTTCCAGATTCCTGGCGTCGAATCTATCCATTTCGTCGAAACGACAACTGCGCGGTCGGGCACTGCTCTGAAACTGGGTCGTCCCGAAAACAAGCCTCAGAGCCTAGTGGATGCTGATGGCTCAGACCTGCCTTTGTTCATACACTTTGAGCACATCCCAAGCAGCTTCGTTCAACTCTCTCTCCTTATCTCCGCCGCAGCCGTTCCAGTGCAACTTCGCCCTCTACTATCTGTGTACACGGAAGCGTTCTTCAACCTGCCGATCCAGCGTGATGGCAAGACCATCGACTTTGAACAGGTCGTTGTTGAATTGGAAAGAGATACGGTTGGTTACTCTATGGAAGGCGCCCGAAGCCTGGGAACTTCCGAAATGCTGCGGATCTCCTTCCAGGTGGAGCTGGAGAAGTACAGCACCGCAATCGCATGGCTTCAGGAGCTTTCTTGGAACTCGATTTTCGACGTTGAGAGACTGCGCGCTATTACTAAACGCCTTCTCTCTGACGTCCCAGACTCCAAGCGAAGCGGCGACGACATGCTGGCGGCAGTGCATGTCATGATTCACTACGCGGCCGAATCTATCGTGCGTGCCCGCAGCACTTTGGTCAAGGCCCGCTATCTGAAGCGGATCAAGAAGCAATTGGCTGACGAGCCGGAAACCGTCGTTGCACGCATGGAGGAGATTCGCCAAGCTCTCTTCCGGTTCGAGAACATGCGGGTTGTGGTTATTGCAGATCTCGAGAAACTGCAGAACCCGGTCTCGGCTTGGAAGCCGTATGCTGAACGGCTGGGAGCGGTTGCCCCCCTTCGACCCATCACAGCCAGACGTCCCTTGCTCAGTGAGGCTGGTCAGCACCTCGGCGGCAAGTCGTATGTGGTGCCTATGCCGACCATCGATTCCTCCTTTGCCTACGCCACGGCGCGAGGCTTGGACACCTACGACGACCCGAATCTGCCTGCCCTGCTGGTCGCGATTGCGTACATGAACGCCGTCGAAGGTCCTCTCTGGGTTGCCGTCCGTGGCAAGGGTCTGGCCTACGGCACGAATTTCGCCTACAACATCGACACCGGATTCGTCAACTTCGATGTGTACCGGTCGCCCAACGCCCACAAGGCCTTCGACTCCAGCAAGCAGATTGTCGAAGACCACCTTTCTGGTGCCATTGCGTTCGATCCCTTGATGATGGAGGGTGCGATCAGCAGCATCGTGGTGAGCTTCGCCAACGAACAGGCCACCATTGCCAATGCCGCCTCGGACAGCTTCATTCGCCAGGTGGTCCGTCGTCTGCCCAGTGACTACAAGGAGAACATGCTCAAGCAGGTGCGCGCCATTACCGTTGAAGAGGTCAAGGGTGCTCTGAGAAAGATCATCCTGCCCTTGTTCAACCCTACGACGGCCAACATCGTCATCACGTGCGCTACTGTAATGGAGGAAGTATGTCAACCCCAATCCCGCACCCCCCCTTCAAAACTCTCGGGATGACTCCTGACTGACCCATCGATCCAGACAATCAAAGAAGGCCTACAAGCCTCCGGCTTCACACCCAAGGTACAGGCCCTCAAGGAGTTCGAGGACGACTACGGACTCAAGACCGGTGATGACAACGATGACGAGGAGGAGGAAGAGGACGACGAGGATTCCGACGATGATGATGACGACGACTCGGAATCCGGCTCCGAAGACGAGGGCTCCGATGAGGAAGAATCCGGCTCCGAGGATGACGATGAAGAGTGATCTTTCTCGTCTTGGTAGGAGCCTTATGAAACCGAATGAACCACACGGTATACTACAGTACCTGAACGTCTAGACGATACGCGGCAATAAACCAGAAGCTAGAAAGCAGTCTTGCTAAGCCATGAAACGAGCATGATCACCTCTTCTTAGAGAAATACATACAAATATATTTGTAAATAAATTTCTTCAAAATTAGAGGGCTGAACAGGCTGTCCCCACGGTGGAGACCCTGCATTGTTTGGTCGGTGCCGCCGAAGAACAACAGGCCGTATCATCTTAAACTGCCATTCCCCTACCATCCAACCAACAAGCTACACGTAAGAGCCAAGACAGTCAGCCAGCCCTCAACAACCGTCTGCACGAAACCTCCGGGCCCAATCGCACAGGTAAAAATCCATGCCAAAGATGTATGTATGTATATGGTACAAAATAGGAAATAGAAAAAGAAACAAGGTAGTAGAATACAACCATCATATCTCAATCTGGATCATCAGCCACCCACCGACACAACCGACGCCCTCGCCTGACCACAGCTGAGCACCGCAGTCAACATACTCCTGTCTAAGATGAAGCACGAAACCGCATGCCCAACTGAGATCTTCCACCTCCGGTCCAACCCATCTAACTCATCGAAGACCCCATATACCCTCTAGTAACAAGAGCCCCAGAGAAATCCAATGCGAGCAACCTCCAAAGAAACATGCAGCACACCGAACACAACAAAAAAAAAGAATAAAACAGAAGAACGGATAAGCCCCCTCCCCCGAAGCTTTCAGCGAGATACACAGCCCATTGGTGTAGAACGGTCACTCGAGACGGAAACAACCAAGCCCCGCCGTCTCCCTTAGGGTAGGGTAGACCCTCAAGGTAGGGTAGAGGTACTTAAGCAACAGAGAAACCGCAGAATCTACCAACTCAAGTTCTTCCGGCCGCGGGCCTTTCTCCGCTGAATGATCTTCCGTCCAGTCCGGGTCTTGACCCGGGACAGGAACCCGTGGCGCCGCTTCTGCACCCGTCGCGAGGGGTTGTAGGTTGACCGCTTTCCGAGCAGGCAGGCGCTGGCGGAGAAGGATCGGGATTGTTGCAGAGAGGCTGTGGTGGGAGATGTGGAGGGGAAGAAGGCGGAGGTCGATGAGAGGATGGCGGTGGAGGGGGCTCGTTGTTGGTGGGAGAGCTGTGCGCGAAGGGGAGAGAAGGCGGAGGAGGAGGAGGAGGTGATGAGGGTGCGGATTGAGGTGGTGTTGGTGGTGGTGGTGGTGGTGGTGGTTCTTGCTGTTGATGCGCGGGCAGCGGCGGCGGCGGGTGCGGAGATGGGGATTCTGGAATTCACGACGGGGTTAGCCTTTGGATATTCGGGTAGTCGCGAAAAGGTGGTGCGCTATGTTCGGTGGGTTTGCGTTTTCTTTCGGCTTAACTTTCCGGGCTTGAATGTCGAGGATTGGGGGAGGGGAAGGGGGGCAGGTTGGCGATATATTGGCGGAAACTAGGTGGTGGTGGTGGATTTGAAAGGGCATCCATCGCAAGCAGTGGTTACCACGTACCTGGTGGCCGCGGTCATGGAGGACCGGAGAGTGGCGGGCACGGCCCGGCACTGAAAGCAGATCATGGCGTCCGACTGCACTGTCAGAATTGAGGCCAAGAGGACGGCAATCAAGCAAGCAACCGGGTCACCGACAGGAGGATCTCAAGTGTGGAGGGAGGGAGAGTTGAGTTGGGTGAGTTGGGTGAGTTGAGTGAGTTGAGTGAGCGTGAGTGAGTGAGTGACGGAGGACGAAAATTGAACACCAACAACGCACGGACCACCTGCGACCTTGACACCAACAACTTTTTTTCTGCCCGCCCGCGGTCTGTCGCCGCAATCTCCATTTCTCCAGATTCCCCATTTGGTCTACACAGACACTTCTACACGCATACACACCAATCACCTCCAGGCGCAAGCTCTGTCGCATATCTCCGATCATTCGAGAGATACAGACCAATTTTTATCGCCCGCCATTGACGACTTTCTATACCCTACACCGGGCGGATCAAAAAAACTACACAAAGTTGCACACGACCACTGAACACTTCCCAACGAAAGCAAACTTCTCCCGCGACAATCACAATGGCCGCCCAAGGTCCCTCGGCTCTCCCTCCCACAACCATCATCTCATCCCGACCGATCTCCCAGTCGGCTGCCCACGACTTCCTCGCGGCGTACCTCGACCGTGCTGCGACGGACCCCGCCCTCCAACCCAACGCCGGAATCAGTGAACATGGCCCCTTGTCGCGCACCACGGCCGCCGCCCCCAATTTGATGCTGCACAATCTGAAGCGCGTGCAGGCCGGTCTGGCTGGCGAGGTCCTGGGTCGGGACCTGACCCTGGCAAAGCTCATGGCCGGAGAGGACGGCGATGCGCAGCAGCAGACCACCGAGGCGGAGCAGGGCCAAGATTGGGAAGATGCCCAGAAATTCCAACAAGAGGGTGAGGCCCTGGAGGGCTCGCAGGACCCGATGGACGCAGATGTCAACATGGAGCAAGATCAAGAGGGACCCGCATCGGGGGCCATCGACAAGGAAGAGAGGAAGCGCCTGAAGAAGGAGCGTAGATTGGCAGAGAAACGGGCCAAGGCCAAGGCTGACACCGATGCCTGAAGACAGGTTGAAGTCTCGCAACAACATTCCGGTTATTGGTACGGTTGGCCATTCTTTTTCGTTTGGGACTCGCTTTTATCGATTCGGGGTTCAACTTAGATATGCATACAGCATTGGGCGCATTCAAGGCGAATATACATAGGAGGTTGCCATTGGTTTGTTTTCTTACTTCTTTTGTTGAGTTCTTCGAATTTATTATACCATTCCAACACCAACAAATTGTCAATTACAATCTCATGTATCAAAGTGCTCGACGGCTCCCGTACTCTACGAATGGCAGAACAGGAGGCTAAACACCCCCAAAGATCTCGACTTGAAGTACTTGAAGTGAAGGGCCTCACAGCTCACGATCCGCAGCCTTGACCGGTTTCTCGCTGTCTTCCTCCTTGAGGTTGGTGACCTTTCCGCCCTTCCAGCCAAGCGCCTTGAGGCGTTCCGAAAGAATAGGATGAGAGTAGTGGTAGCTTGCGTACATCCAGTCAGCATCCATGGTGCTGAGGTTCTGGATCTGGAGCTTGAGAAGAGACTGTGCTAGTTCCTCAGAGTATCCGAGTCCAACAGCGAAGGCGTCTGTGATTCGTCAGTTTCAGTCAACATGTAGCCAAAGTGGACAACGTGAGGGATGAGCACGTACCGGCCTCAAACTCGAACTTGCGGCTGAGAATGTTCATCAACAGCTTGACGACGGCGTCCATGGGAGCGAGGGCGTCGGAGAACAAGAGGAATCCGATCATAATGGGCTGCTGGCTGTGGAAGCCAAATGACTGGTACAGGGACTTGTTGTTCACGAAAGCAGAAAAGAGCGCGAAGATGTAGAACATGTGGAACTGTTATCCTGAGGTTAGCTCATCTCCTATAACAGTTCGGGAAACCAGGAATTCGCGGAACGCACCTGGGCGATACCGAACAGCTTGGTAGTGTGGCTAAGGCTCCAGTGGCCGAGTTCATGACTGAGCACCGCGACCACCTCTTCAGGCTCGCTCTTCTCGATCAAAGTATCATAAATGACGATGTGCTTCTTCCAGGGAAGTCCGTAGAAGTAGGCGTTGCTGTGAGCACTGCGCTTGCTGCCGTCAATGACATGCAGCTCCTTCAGAGGGAATTCGAGCTTCTTGGCAAGGTTCTCAACACCTGTCTTTATCTGGCCGGGCTCTAGGGGCGACAGCTTGTTGAACAGAGGAAGGATAACGATGGGGTAGATTGTAATGGCAAAAACCTGAATGAAGATACCGAAGATCCAGAGGTAGTAGAAGAATGAGTTGCCAGTCTTCTGAATGATCTTGAGAACAGCACTGATGATCGGAGTTCCCAGCACAATACCGAGCATTTGACCCTTGAGCATGTCCGTGACCCAGAGCTTGACGGTCTGCTTATTGAAACCAAACTTCTCCTCAAGAACGAACGTATTGTAGTACGAAACCGGGATAGAGAGAACCGTGCTGATCAAGTTGAAACCGAAGAGAAAGAGGAGTGTCTGTGCAATTTCACCCTGGAACCGAGCTGGAAGATACCGTGCCAACAAGAGACCACTAACACCCCAAAGCTTGGGGAGGACATCGCCGTAGATGAACGCGAGATTCTGAATTTGACTGTAAAGACCTGCAAAGAAACCGAACTTGGCTTTGGCGCGACCATAGGCCTACCGAAAGAGATGGCGCTCGTCAGTAAACTCTCGAGTCGAGGGAGGCAGAACGCATGTATACCTGACTCTGATCATAAACCTTCTGCGACACCTCGCCCTCCAAGACCTGGGGAGGCTTCGTCCGCTGCAAGACCTTGTACTGACGGAAAGACAAGAGTCCTTCTAGCACAAACTGTCCCAGAGAGAACCCCACGAGGACATTTTTCCATGGGAAGAATGGGCGGTCGAGCAGACGCGCCAGTTGCTATTCGGGACACGGTAAGCCGCGTTAGCTCACGCTTCTTTCAATTGACAAGGCGAACGATAGAAATAATAGTCTCGGAACAGCAGTCCTTACCTCGAGAATATACATGGTAGCGTCCGCAGCACAGCAAGAATCCGAGATAGAACCTGCTGCGAAGTGGGCTGTTTCCTCGGACTATGAGGTGATGAGGAGGAAGGACGCCGCGGAGGGGGGGACGTGATGGAGTAAGAAGTACCTGGTGGTAGTTGGTTGCCTTGCAGCCTTAAACAACCGCGGATGTGTTTCACTGCCTATTACCCTATTACAAGTAGGTCAACTAAATACATGCATGTAACATTACTGTCACTATTTTGGGGTTCAATAATAAAGAACAAGACAGGTTGTCAACAAGGACAATGAGTAAGCGACAGGGTCTCTCTCTACCAGGTGAGCAACCATAACCTGACCTAACAAAGATTGAAATAGATTCCAACATACATTCAGTTTCACCAAATTCGACCGAGCCCAGACTATGAGAACAATATGCACAATAATATCATTAAGCAAAGTTCTTAACTTTTATTTCGTTGCATTCATCATCCCCCTATACAGCATCTACAAAAAAAAAGAGGCCATGTATCTTGGACCGAACAATAAGAATGAACAGAAAAAAGAAGATGAAGAAAATGACTTCCACAGAATAGCGTCATAACACACGTCAAAAGAAGTAGCCTTCGCGCACCAACTCCAGCCATGCTACTTCAGCCTCCAATCTGCCTATCCATCCTGCTGCATGCATGGCCTCTTTGTCTCTGCAAACCTCTGGATGGGCCGGCGGGAGTTTGGAAAAGTCTCTCCCGTGCTCCCCAGCAGGTGAGATAGGCGAAGATTGGACTTACTGCGTTCTCTATCCAGGGAATCAGCCCGACACGCGCTTTCATTACCGTAAACCCTTCTATTTCAGAGTAGACCCAGTCCATCAAGGCTAGTTATCAACTAGACTACAATGTCTTCATCAACATTTTCCTGGCTGGACCAAGTTGGAACTCTTCAAGCTACAATAGCTTGTTTTAGTTCGAGACAGGCTCGAGAGTGTTACCGCTGATTGAAAGTTAGTCGGGTTTCATCATGACTCGTACTCCGAGGAGTTGTGAGCGCGCGGCGAGAAGGGAAAACTTACGCGACAATGTTGGCCCATCCAATCAAACGCCAGTGCTTCTCAATTCTGCGGCTGATGGCGATCTTCTCGCCAATCTCAGTACAGGCAGGGCTGGTCAAGCTGAGCTTAGCGGCATCGGCCTTCACACCGACGACCTTGGCACCGGTGGCCGTGGAACCGATGTTAACCATGAGAACCTCGTTCTTGGTCAACTTGGCAACCTTGGCTTGCTTGCCATCGGCGGTCTTAACACCCAACAGGCGACGGAGCAAGAAATAGTTAACCTCCAACTCGGTGTAAATGGCAGGAAGGCGTCCACGGTGACCCAAGACGAAACCGACGAGACGATCAGCACGGCACAGAGTAGGATCGACACGAGTACCGACACCGATCAAACCACCAGGCACAGCAAACTTAAGGTCGTTGTGCTCGGCGAAGAGGGACATAACCCGGGAGAAGATAGGCCGGCACTGGATCTTGCCGTTCTCGTCCTTGGTAACGAGACCAGGACGAATCTCGATTTCGTCGTTCAGCTTCAACACACCAGTGAGGATCGAACCACCAGCAACACCACCCTTCAACTCCTCAATCTCAGCACCGGGCTTGTTCACATCGAAGGACCGAATGACGATCATGTGAGGGGAAGCGGTGAAGTCACGGACAGGGACCGGGATGTGCGAAACCAGGTACTCGTTAACGGCGTCGATGTTGTACTTCAGCTGTGCGGAAATGGGGATAATGGGAGATCCATCGGCGACGGTACCGCGGATGAACTTCAGAATGGACTGGTAGTGTTGCAGAGCTCCATCTTCTCTCATGAGATCCACCTTATTTTGCAGGATGATGATATGGCTGAGCTTCATGATCTCAATAGCTGCCAAGTGCTCCGAAGTCTGAGGCTGGGGGCAAGTTTCGTTTCCGGCGATCAAGAGGAGGGCAGCGTCCATGACAGCGGCACCTGAAAGCATAGTACTCATCAGAATATCGTGACCGGGGCAGTCAACGAACCTACAGTAGAGAGGGTCATCCGTTAGCGGCGGGGCTTGTTGGCTCCAAGGGACAGGGTGAAAGAAACATACGAAACATGTCTCAATAGTCTGTAGCGACCGGAACATCCATCTCTCTCACAAGGCGGGTCGATTTCCTTCTCGCTCTTGAAACTCTTGAAGCAAGTCGGTCTGGGACACTCGGGGTTGTCGCACTTGTAGATCTTGGCGTTGGCATAACCCAGCTTGATGGTGATGTTTCGCTCCAATTCGTTCTTGAAACGGACAGTCTGAACCTCGGAGATGGCCTTGACAACCGTCGACTTTCCGTGAGCGACGTGACCGATGGTACCGATGTTGATCGTGGCCTGGCGCGCAATGATTTCGGGCGTCAGAGGGGTGAGTGTGGACAGGTCGAGAGTCTCTGGGTTGGGCTGCTCGGGCAGCTCTGGCCGCTTAGGCTGGGGGAGGGAGGGCACTCCAGAGTTCTTCATCGCAGACTTCAAGGGCTTCTCCTCAAGGTCGAGGGGCTCCTGATCTTCGATGTCATCGTGACCGTTCGCATCGAGCATGGGGGATCCAGGCTGGGATTCATCGTCTGTGTAATCGCCGTTGGTAGCCATGATTGCGGTGTTGACCAGGAGACGACAACGGGGTAGGTAGGAAAAGGTGGGTTGACGAGGGGGGTGGGTAGGAGGGGCGAATATCCAGGGTCGTCTGGTCGGATGAAAATTGCTGCTTGGAAACGGAGAGGCGATATGATACGGTTTGAGCCAGTGGGGTTCGGGTTTGTGCAGTGGAGAGCGAGTGGGCGGTGGGCAGCGGCAGGATTTACTACAGTGCTCGTATTTGACCAGTTGACCGGCGGAGGGTTGATTGTTGACTCATCGCACAAGAACAATAGTTAACTAGTTCACGAACTAGTTAGCTACTACTCACAGTAGTATTGGGCATTTAAACCATTACAATGAGAAGGCAGGATTCATAACACGTATGCCTTGGTTTTCTATCCATGAACAATACCATGCAAAAAACATAAAATCATTATCTCACGGCTGCAATTCAACAATCCACACTACTTCTCTTCCTAACAACGACAGAGGGGTATATAGGTTTGAATTCCGATGCTACTCATCATCGCTGGCTTCGCTATCAGATTCCTCCTCGCTAACTTCTTCAGCATCCTCGGATTCCTCGTCATCAAACTCGAGGTCGGACGAGTCCTCCGCCGTCAACATCACGAATGCTTTCAGGCAAGTGACCCGATTCCCCGTAGCGTAAGTGTTCAACAGTCGGCCAACCTGGTTAACTTCAGAAGCCTTCTCATCTTTAAAATCGGAATTCTTCTTCTTGTCGCCCTTCTTCTTCTTTGCTACTAGTTCAGTGCCACGCAGCAGCCATACGCGGATCAGGCCTTCGCTATTGGCGGTAACAACCAAGTAGTCGCCCTTGTTGGGCCCTGGCTGATCCTTCAGGCTGAGAACCTCGAAGTCCTTGACTCTGCCGGGAAAACCATGTGCCCTACCGCCGAGCTGGGCGATGACCTTAGCAAATGGAATAGGAGACTCATCCCCCTCCGGTGCGCTCTCGACTTGTTTGGTGGAATAAAAGATGACTCTGCCGTCTTCAGTCGAGACAGCAAGCAATTCATCACTATCCTCGGAAGAGTGGTCGGAGCTGACGTATGTCATCTGGTGAATCTTACTGCGAGGGTTAGGGCACACTCTGCAGATGGGAGTCGAGTCCTGCCAGGGTTAATCAGTTTTGATGCCAACAAATAAACAAGAGCATAGTTGTCGACTTACGATGCCAAAGACGACTGCGCCCCATTCGAAGGCCACAGCAAATTCGTCTCCCTTGGAGTTCCAGACAATTCGCCTTCCTTCACCGGTGCTGTATTTACCTTCCTTGACGCTTTGTAGAATCTCCCGGTTGAAGCTCAAGACTCCAGCTTTCTTGCCAGTTACTAAGTTCCACAATCTCATGCATTTCTCTCCCTTGCCAACACTTAGCATAAGCTTCATACTAGGATGCACGGCGAAGTCGTTGATTCCAGAAGGAGAGCCACCGGGAGGAGCTGTGTCACCGCTTGGGCGGCCCTGCACTTTAGGGTGCGGAGCTTTGATGGTCGAAACGACGGTAAAGTCACGAGTTTTGGTGACGGAGATGGTGTTATCTTCGGCCGCGACCAAGATCTTTGAGCGTGAGGGGAAGCAAAGGGCTGAGATAGGGGCAGAGTGATGCATCAATGAACCCAATTCGCGGTTCTTGGGATTTTCGAGAATTTTGTTACCGGCAAGAGTTGGAACAGTAGGATAATCTTCATTGACAGCCACCGGAGCAGCAGATAACGAGTAGAGGTTGACACGCTCATCAGTAGCGCCAGTTGCCAGGATCACTTGGGGGGCTTCGTTGGAATCTGCCTTGGGCAACGGGGACAGTGCGAGGCATCGAATTGCGGAGGTGTGAGCCTCGAAGAGAAAGTTGTCCACGAATTGGACCAATTCAGAGTCGTTAGAGGTTTCAGAGGCAGTATCGGTGGGTTTCGCAAAGGCTTCGGGAGAAACAGCAGCAGTGAAGCCATGCAACACCCGTTCGTATGAGCCGGTGACAATCTGCAGAGTGATCGCCGGGAAGTCGGTAGCGGTGGCCGCAGGAGTCTCTTGGCTGGTGGTTGACTTGGCAACCTTGGTTGTCTGCTTGAGGCTCTGACGGTCTTTTGCCGTTTCTTCTCTCTTGCGCTTGACCATAATGACTGATGGCTAATGTATTAACTTGGAAGGAGAAAACGTGGGAAGATTTGGATGGAATATCTGAGCGCGATCAGAACGTGGGCAACTTTTTTTTCTGCCAGGCGTTATCAGCGGTGAACGTGGGCGGTGAATCTAGATTGGTCCACGCCGCCATGGTCTGGTGTTTAGATGTCTTTTGTCTCCTCCTTCTCAGATTCTCGTTATCAGTTTGAATGTCTCGAATATGGAGCTGTCTTCGGTATTCCAGATCTCGTCTGCATGTCTATGACTGATCCTTCAGCATGACGTTCCGGGTTGATCATCAATATACAGATTCTGAGCTATAGATCTAGAACATGAAAGCCGAGTACAATCCAACTGATAGTCATACACTGTTCGATCGCATCTTTGTTCGACCCTTATTAGGTGACACAGTGGCAGCAACCCAAAACAGCCCAGAAGGTTTATTTGTTGCATACAGAAAGACCTACATGTAATGCAGGATCTTGCGCGGCAGCGTGTCTTATGTCCTGCTCCAGTATGTCACGTTTGATTTGACTTAGAAGACATTTATACCTGCCACGTCCGGGATCAATCTATACCCATTGGCGGGGTTTGACATGTTACCGGCTCGTTGGCATTGACTTAAGGTGTATTCATAAAGCATCGACAAGATACTGGTAGATGTAAAGGTACACCAGCGTCTTCCATAGTATATATTGAGCGCATGGATTCCTCAACGTTCGTCTCTATGTTGAGCTGTGCTCCAAATGCCTTGCCTTCAGGTCACCATAAGCCAACATGGACAGGAGAATTCGCAAGAGCCCAATATCATCCTTCTTTATCATTTCAGTGTCTGACTCCAAGCTGGCCACTCGCCAGTCAGTGTCAATGATCCTGTTTGCCCAGAAGTCGTAATCTGCGTGGAATCCACCTTGACCTTTGTTGATGGGCCTCCTTCGACTTGGGAGGCCGTCATTTTACCATCGAGATATGAGGTATGGAGAACGAGTAATCCGTAGGCCTTTGGCTCTAGTGGCTTAACTATGGAGAGTGCTACATCCTCAGGTCCTGATATTGCTTATGAGCCGCTCTATAATAGTTATCTGAGCAGTAGCATTTGACGAATAGGCACATATTAAGGTACCAGTAGATGTGCGTAATGCCTTGACATGCATGGGGTAATAGTATTTACTCCAATATGATTGTGCAGATAAGGAGATGACTACCAACTTCACTACTCGAAAACAACCCCAGTCCCAATCCATCAGCCATAAACGATGATCTATGTCGGGTATTCCAGAGTATCAGTTACATATCTAGACCAAGCACCGACAAAAGCACCATAAGGTGTTAGAACCCTCTGCACAGCTGTCCAGTCTGGTAAGTTGAATGAATCATTGCTCTTCTATAGTTACCATATTCTTGAACACCGCAGCCCCGAAGAAGGGATGTTGCGGTTGTTGCCCTAATATACTATACTGCTGCTGCCTATGCAAGAGATTCATAATGTTACACATCAATAAGGAGCTCACCAGGCATACCAGTTATCATAGAGAAGATTAGGTTTATATCCATTGCTACTCCCAGATACAATACAATGCAGTTCCTCGATAAATTATGAAAGCGAAAGCAACCACGCCCGTGGAAGTAAACAGACCTACATTGAAGAGTTACTAGTCCAGTCGGAATTGGACAGTGTTACTGAAGAAGGCAAAGCTCGTGATTAACCTGGTTAACTAAGTTAGTTAGTTACCTACAGCACATTAGTAAGGGGGCTTAATGACCACAGCCTCAGAGGCAACTACCACGCACCGCTATGTCCATTCCGTCGTCACCCAGAGTAACTGTGTATGGTAAAATACCCGTAATTTATCTGTACCTCATGTGAAATCAAATTGAATGTGCTGCTGTTCGCGGCAGTCACCCAGGCTTCCTGCAGTGGTAGTAACCGACTTTCTGTCCCCTCTCTTCCTTTTCCTCCCCTTCCATACATACCAGAACTGCCTCTGGACCCTTCCTCCCTCCTCTCTCCTCCCTCCCCGTACCGTACCCGGCCCAGAAGTCCTCACCACCACCACCTACACTAATACTCACTCTCCCACCATACACCACACCCACCCACCCCCCCAAGAACCCCAAAAATCCCTTCCGCGGTGAAATCTTCGCGTCGTATCTTTGGCATCATCTCCCCTCACCACAACCACCCTTTTCATCCTTTCTGAGCGATTTTTTCCATCTGGATGACTTCGCTCAATTGGTTTCCCTTAATTTTAGCGCGTTAATCGGATGCTGTGTTCCCCGAAATAGACTCCATGCTCCGTGACGAGCTTCTCCGGTCTAAGAAAGATGAGATCGCGTACGTATTTGATTTTGCCCCTATTAATCGCTTGCAAGCAGTCTTTCTATTCCTGCTGGCCCTGCGACTGGGATTTATCGCTCATTTGGAATTTTATAGACGTTGTTTGTCGTCGCGGAAGCGCAAACTGAGCGAGCTCTACTTTGCGACCGTAGGCTTCGCGGGCGCGACCGGGAACGCTCCGGCGGACTCGCTATACCATCACAAGGAACAGGCGTTTCTCGATGCCAACGACCTTACCAGGTAATTTAATTCTTACTCTGCCCTACTGTCACCCAATGCTATTTTCCCCATCGAATTACCTTCCTTTCATGCTCCCCGTTCTATCAGAATTGTCATTTCCCTTCAAGGTAGTCATGAAGGCTCTTGAATGTGCAAATAACTAGGCATGTTGCTGGCAAGACCTACCCACTGACCCTCAACAGAGGCCGATACTTTGATGAAACCACTCTTCCACAGCTACCAGACTATGCAGCGATCCTATCGCGGGATGGCAGGAAGTCCACCGCTACAGCAGCGCCCGTGCCACTACCGGCAGTCGCACCTGCTCCACGGACTCACGATGCTACTCTCGACAGTCCGCCACTGACAACAGAGAATGCTGCCGCGCAGATCAAGCCGAAATCAGGAGAGGAACGTCCAATTCCCCAGCAGCTGCCAACACAGAATCTACAGCAACCCGCAGCTGAACCGCCAGCCCCTGCTCAGGTTGCGCCTGATGTCTCTTCCACCAGGCCCCAGAGCCAGGAAGCATCTTCCCAGCCCAGGAAGCTTGCGCCGGCAGTACCAACACCGACAATAGATCAGAAGGCACATACTGCAACGCTAGGACAGCATGCCAGTGGTCAGGATACAGCATTGGCGGCGGCTGAGGTTAGGTTGGACCAGAAGCAACCAAGTGCCGTGCCACCACCTGCAACACCTACTGTGGTGCCAGTCCAGAAAAAGAATGATGCACGGCCGTCTCTCTCTTTCGGATCCATCCCCAAAGTTCCGGAGCAGCCCCTCTCTCCTGTATCATCAGCCGGCCAATACTCAAACAATACTCCCTTGCCGGTCACCGTGTCGCCAGCTACAAGCCCTGCCGAGGAAGTCAACGACGCTGTTCCGAGACCTGCGAGCCCTAAGGATGAAGAAATTACTAAGACTCTTTCCACTATGGTACCATCAACGCCCGACGAACAACTGCGTTTCGAAGAGGCGCAGTCGCTCAAGCAGACCCTTGCTGCAAGCAAATCCCTCGGCGAGAGTGCGGTCAAAGGCACCACGACGAGCGAAGTTATCGAAGAAAGTGCTGCTCCAACTCCCGTCACTATTGGACAGTCACCAACGGTCGCTCGTATATCACCTCCAACAGTGCCAGCAGAGCTGAAGACATCGCGTGTCGTGGTTGGACATCCCACCGAGCCCCAGCTTTCTGCTAAAGATCAGGCTCAAGCTGGAGCAGGCGTCAAGACCCCGAAAGAAACGACCCCAGCCAAGAAGCCATCACCACCTGCCAATGCAACACCGACAGTTGAAAGAATGACAACTAGAGTGTCATCTGGAGCCATTCGTCATAAATCTGTATCTGAGATCCTCGGAGAGTCACCCAAGCCATCACCTCAGTCTGATAGGCAAAGTCCAGTTGAGAAACCCACAGATGCGACAAAGGCCGTAGCTGAGGCGACTCCTGACTCCACGGCGAGGATGCGATTCAAAGATCGTAAAGCACGGGAGAAGGAGAGAACTAAGTTGTCTACCGTGGTCTTTCCCAAACAGCAGCAGCAGCAACAGTCTCAGGAGAAGAATGATTCGATGGAGATTATCAGGCAGCATGCTGGCGACCTCGGGAAGCTCAATGAAGAGCAAGACTACCTCTTTACTCTGTTTCAAAGTCGAGCCTACACCCCTCCTCGTGGGACAAGTCTCAGCACACTCATCGCTTCTGCTCATAAGACTTTGACGACGTCAAATCACCTGCTTGACTATCAAGAGCAGATGGACTGCCGCACATTGCGTCGGATTTATTCTCTACAGAATGCGAACAGATGGCCCTTGCGTCAGCTGAAGCGTTCGGTTGAACCTCCACGGGAAGGGAGCCATTGGGATGTGCTTCTGAATCATGTGAAGTGGATGCGTACAGATTTTAGAGAGGAGCGAAAATGGAAAATTGCCGCAGCGAAGAGTTGCGCAGACTGGTGTGCAGAATTTGTCAATAGTGATGCAGAGCACCGTTCACTGCTTCGCATCCAGGCAAAGATCCCTCCCGCAAACAAGGCCGACGAAGTTGAGAACAAGTCCAGCTTAATTTCCCCGCCCGAAGAAGACACGGTGGACGAGATGATGATTGTTTCTCAACCTACTCCAGACCTGGTTCCTTCTACTGAAGAAGATTCCGCAAGCGAAGGGTTCAGTGAAGAGCCTCGTCTTCTTGTGGGTGATACGGTCGCACCAGCAGCGATCTTCTCCCTAGGTACAGACGAGTTCACGTTCTCGTTGGACATGACTCCTGCGGCGCAGAAGATTTTGGATGAGCTGCCTATCTATTCTCCCATCATGATCACGCCCGAACTAGACCTACCAGTCTTCAAAGAATCTCCTGACACGGTCTGGAAAACCGAAATTCTTCCTGTTTCTAAGTACGCGCTTGGTAAGGTTACATTCCACGACGATGAACCTGCTCGAAAGCGTAGTCGCTACGATTATTCCCAGTATCGATCTGATCTCGATACTGGTGCACTGGACCTCCCCCCTGAGCAGACAAATGTCGCGCTTTTCCGCTTGGAGAACAGGCACATCCGCGACAGAATTCACCCCGGCCATTCCTTTAGACCCCCTACCGAGCATCCTATGCCATCGGTCGGTTTCTTCGAGTCAAGACAGTCTTCTCAATGGACCTATACCGAGGACGATGAGCTTCGTCGCCTTGTGAAAGAGTATTCCTACAATTGGTCACTAATTTCCAATTGCCTAACACCGTCCTCGCAATTCACATCAGGGGCGGAAAGACGAACACCTTGGGAATGCTTCGAGCGTTGGATAGGCTTAGAAGGGTTGCCTGCTGACATGTCTAAAACCCAATACTTCCGTGCCTACCACCAAAGGCTTGAATCAGCACAGCGCACCATTATGGCACAACAACAAGCGGCTCAGCAACAACAACAACAACAACAACAACAGCAGCAGCAGCAGCAGCAACAACAACAGCAGCAGCAGCCGCAACAGCCGCAACAGTCACAACCGCAACAGCTGCAAGGTAACAACAATAACAGTAACTCGCAGTCACTGCCCCCGATCAGGCGGCGAACTACACAGCCCGTTCGAGTGGATCGGAGACGATCTTCCAAACACCTGGCGTTGCTCGATGCCATGCGCAAACTAGCCAAGAAACGAGAAACCATGCTTCAGAAGCAACAGCACGGTAAGTAATCCAGGGCAAGGTGTCTCTCCTCTTAGCTGAGACTAACCACAACCCTAAGCGTCTCATCTAGCTTCGCTGCGGAAGGTCAACGAGGCCAACCAACCCAAGCCCCCAATCTCATCACCTGCCGAATTTAGCCGACTCAAATATGAGCGTGAGGTGAAGCTTCAGGAGAGACAGGAACAATACCGACAGCAGATGTTCGCTCAGCAGAAAGTAAGGCCTTGCCAGGAATGGACCGTTCTCGAATGGTTGGTCGCTAACGTGCCATCAACAGGCTCATCAAGCCGCGGCCCACCAACAGGCAAACTTGGCCGCTCAACGTGCAGGCCAAGCGCCTAATCAGCAGCAGATGATGAACGCTCCTGGGCGAACCCCCAACGGTATGCCACATCCCGGAGCGCCTGCTATGGCAGCTCAGACACCAAATGGAATCCCCAACGGATTGCCAAATGGAATGCCGACGGGGCTGCCACCTGGTGTTGGTCCCAATCAAGCCCGGCCTCATATGCAGGGCATGGCTAGTGGTACACCTGTTAATGGAGCCATGCCACCCAATCCGATTGCGGTGAAGATGATGCAGCAACAGCCCGGTATGCAACACAATGTCGCTGCCCGTCCCGGGATGCCCATGCAGACGCCTCCAGATAATGCCCGAGTCATCAGGGAAGCCAATCGACTCCAAGAACAACAGCGGATGCTACAATCCAGACAGCAACCGACGCCGCACCCTCATCAGCAACAAACGCAACCCCAGCAGAGTCAGCAGCAATTTCACAGTCAACAGCAGTTCGTGCCACAGGGCTCACACTCTCCGAACCTCAACCTGCCTAATGTCAATGGCAACCCCAATAATCCAGCCATGATGGCTGCTCTACAGGCTGGAGGCGGAATGCAAAGCCCAAATTTCCACAATACCACCCCACAGGGCGTCTCGACACCATCACCTCGAATGGGTCAGCCTAATTTGCTCTCTGGCGGAGTCATTCCTACAATCAGCAGCTTGCAGAACCAGATCCAACGAAGCAACCCGAACATGCCTCCGGAGCAAGTCAGCAAACTGGCTACAGACCGCTTGCACCAGATCCAGCAGCAACGCATGTCGCAGGTTGCCATGAATGCCGCAGCTGGAAACATTGGCAGTGTTCAGGCTAACTACCAGGTCTCGCATGACGCCAATTTTCAGTCGCCTCAGGCTGGGATGAGTGGTGGGCCGGGAATGCAAGTACCCCAGGCTCAAGGATATTCGCCTATGATGCGTGTTCCCCAGCCAGCACAACAAAATCGGGTTGCCATGGGGAGCTCTCCGTCCATGAATGGAGCTGTACCTCAGCCAAGCCGCAGTGTAACCCCACAAACCCAGCGCAGTGGGAGCGTTCAGGCTGGTCCAGTGCCAGGCGCAACGAACAAGAGTCCCAACCCTCCTCAAGCACAGACAGCGACTAGCTGAGCCCCTCCGAACGGATTAGACACTTTGACCGACCTCTGATACCTTTTTTCTTACCCTTTCACTGTACATATTCCTTCCCCCACCTTACTACTTTTTATTCCACGCTTCATTTTGCGCCTTGGACCATGCCATGCCTCTTATGAAATCAGCTTCCTGGCGGCACATCTCCTATCCAAAGCTCCTCACTGCCTTCAACTTCGATTCCCAACATCACCCTCTCAGTCTTCAGCTTCCCTTCCCACGTTTGTTACCCTCTTCTTCCCTCCCCCTTATTTCACCTTTTTTGCCGCTGATTTACGGCTTGAGCTCCATTTTTTTTTCTGGGAAGGATATCTCTTATCTGTGTTCCGGGGGCCTTACTGCATTATCTAAATTTCTCTGCGCTTTTGTACTACATGTATTGATAGGACGGATACAAAAGGGGGCGGCGAGGATATAACTTGGAAGGCCAATTGGAATGGACGGGCTCAAAAGAAATAATGAACCACGATTGTACGATTACTGCTCAGCTTGTTGATTCCATGCGTTTTAATTCTTCCCCTTTGGGGATACAAAGAAGGTCCTTGAGGACTAAAACCCATGTAAGCGCGCGTCTAGCCCCGAGCCTCCGATTTTGCCACCGCCTCGGCCTTGCATATTACGCAAGTGAGCTTTCCCAACACTAGAACTTGCCCGACAACATATTGAAACCAACTCTCCAGACAATTCCTAGTTCAAACTCTCTAGAGAGCATAGCTAGGTCTTGGTCCAATCCAGCGCCAATTCGCATTCTACCTCAAATGGAGTGAACGGTAGCTCTTGTACCCATCCAAGACACCACGAACACACTGCTACTCAAACACTCACAGCTTCTTTGAACTCTTTGTCCCCTCCCAAAAAAGCACGGAGTGTGAAGACAAGCACCATGTCCTCCTCCGATCCCCCGCCAAGCTGCAGCACACCAAAGCCCTTTTCCCTCTCCCTGGGCAAAGGAAGTCCCAACGGCGACAGCGGCAACCCTCCCAAGAAACCGACCACCTTCAACCTCAAATCCACCAAGCCTACCGATCCTTCTTCTTCGTCAAGTACGCGCTCCCTCCCTCTCGCCGCGCGCGGTGGTCGCCCCACACCCCGACAACTTCACCATGACGACGACTCGGACGACGACGACGACGCTGCTCCCGCCCACGAAGAAGTCACCGGCTTCGATACGGTCACGGGCGGCGCCATCTCCGCCGCCGACGCGGCCGCCAACCAGCCGCTGGTGATTCCGGTGACGAGTACCAATAATTGGCGGGATCGGCCGGGAATCAGTCGTCGAGCAGCGCCGGCGCAACAGCGGGGTACGAAGAACCTGCTGCCGAAGGAGGTCCAGGCTATCCAGGAGGCGCAGCGACGCGGGGAGATCGCCGGGGCGACGGTCGAGACGGAGGGGCCGAGCACGGCCTATGGGCTGAGTTTTGCGGCGGCAAAGAAACAGGATCTAGATGGGGAACAGGAAATGGAGGATGTCGGGCCTCAGAAAGCGGCGGATGAGGAGAGGGATAGGGCGGCGCCCATGACGCAGGATGAGATCGCGTTGCAGGCGCTCATTCGGGAGAGCAAAGGCGAGACTGCTGAAGGGGGTCGGTCGGATCTGGTGATTGAGGCTGCTGCTGCTGCTGGTTCTGCTGCCGGGGAATTCGGCGAGACGAGTTCGTTCCGCGCGGATATTGCCTCGCGACCCGAATCGGCGACGCTGGATCAGTATAATGCGATCCCTGTGGAGGAGTTCGGCGCGGCGCTGTTGAGGGGAATGGGCTGGAAGGAAGGGCAGGCTGTTGGCAAGGGGAAGTATGGGGGTGCGACGGCGAATCAGGGCAATAAAGCGCGAGTCCCGGAGCGAAGGCCGGGGTTTCTGGGGATCGGAGCCAAGGATGTTTCCGGGGGTAAAGGCGCAGAGGCGGAATTGGGCGCGTGGGGAAAGGCGGCCATGCGCAAAGGGTCGCGCAAGGCCGGTCAGGAAGGAGGGATGAATACGGAGGGTGTCTATATGCCCGTCATGATGCGGAATACGAAGACGGGCGAGTTTATCACCGAGGAGGAACTGTCGACCATGAAGAAGGAGGCGAAGAAACAGACCGATGATGACGAGTGGAAGGCACGGCGAGATCGCAATCTGGAGAGGAGCAGCAGGCGCGATCGGGATGATCGTCCCAGAGAGAGTGACCGCGACTTCCGGCGGAGGGACTACGATGACGACAGGCGCAAGAATGGGTCGTCGAGGAGGGATCGGAGTCGGTCGTCGAGTGATCAGCATTCGAGAAGACGCAGATATGAGGATGATGGCAGTGATAGCCGTGATGATCGCTATTACCGAGAGAGAGACAGAGACAGAGATCGTGACTCTCGCCGGGACCGGGACCGGGACCGCGAAAGAGACAGAGACAGCGACAGGAACAGGGACCGCGAAAGAGACCGCGACAGGAGCCACCGATCTCGCGACGACGACCGCTACAGTTCGAGGTACTCCTCGTCGAATACTTCAAGCAGACATCGCGATCGCGATCGAGACCGCGACAGTGACCGCGACTCACATCGGAGACGAAGGTATGACGACCGGTGAAAGGTATTTCAGAGTCGACCTACGTGTATAGTCATGGATATAGCCTCTTCTTCTCTGAAGATGTCGCATTAACACCTAAATGAACATAACTTTTTACATCGCCGATTTTCCCTCCCAAGAAAGATCATGGAGCAAGACAGCAAGGACTCCGCTCATAGCGCCAGTGTATCACAACAATTCCAAAAGCAGATTATCTTTTGTCTATCTATACATGTTTCTCATTCATGACCGGGGGATCCGTGACCCTGTGTTTTCACGACCCCAGCATGACAACATCCTTCTCGGACTCGTTGGAATTCTCCTCCAAGGAGCCGGCGAAGAAGTCGTACGTACTCGCGGCGCCCAATCCACCCAATCCCACGCCGCCATCCATCTCTGCTAGCACCCACTCCACGAGATAGCTCTCGTCGGTGAGCTCCTCAATCCGCCGGTAGTGGCGGTCCGTGTAGGCAGCCAGAGCCTGCAGGATTTCCTTCAACCCTGCACTAGCGCGGCTATCGCTGCGTCGCTTTGCCTTGGCTGATGCAAGCTCGACGAATGTTGAGGCAGGGTAGGACCGGAAAAGAGCGAACAGAATCCGTTGCGCCACTCTGGATGTGCGTGCATTCGTGTTCCAATCACGGACGCGGAGAAGAAGGGTGCGGAGGTTGTCGGGGTCAAGGGTTTGGAGGACCTCGTCAATGGAGGCGTTGCCGGTGAGGCTGTTCTCATTCTGGAGATCCTTTGTCTCGTCTGAGTTCGGGTCATCGGCAGCGTCGATGGCGGAAGTGAAGAGGGAGAGGAGACGACCAGGGTGGTTCAGCTGAAGCGCCAATGTGATGGCTTCGCGATAAGCACCGGCCCGGATGTAGTTCTGTAGCTGCTGATCCTGTTCGATACGAGCCGAGTTGGCATTCACGGCGGCCGTGTAAGTGGCAGAAGTGGTATCGGTCCAGAATGTGACCGTGGAGTCGGCAGAGCCGGAGACAAGACCATAGGGAGAGGAGGTTTTGAATGTGGTAGGGAACGGAACATCTTCGCGGGAGCCGGAGGGAGTCGGGCTGGCAAGCGCCCAGACGCGATCCTCGTGGTTGTCCAGAGTAGTCTCAAGCTCGCCTGAGTAAGGGGACCAGATCTTGACCAAGCCATCGGCCGCAGCCGAGGCCACCAAAGGTCGCAGTTGTGCGGCGGCCGTGTTGGGTGCCAGCGCAGATTCTTCTTCCTCGTCCTCGATTTCTTCCTGGTGGGACAGATCCGAAGGCGGGAGCCAGATTACCTTAAGCACACTATTCGTGTGGCCTTCGAAGGTGAGGAGACAGCTGTAGTCTGCCAGACTCCAGATCTTGATGGTTTTGTCACCCGAGCCTGTGGCGATCAAGCCTCTGTTGGTGCTAGTTCCGCTGTCGGAGTTGAGGATAGGAGTGCCGCGAGGGGCAAACCGCGCTGACCAGACACCTCGCTTGTGTCCGCGCAGGATACCCACCGTGGTGCCATCCTCGGTCGACCAGATCTTGACAGTACGATCCTGGGAGGCAGATGCGAACAGCGTCGCGGAGGGGTTGACATCCAAAGCATTGATATCTTTTTCGTGTGCTTTTCGGGTATACACGGCCTTGGGATGATGGGGCTTGGAAGAGCTCAGCGGAGGCAATTTGCCGATATCCCAGCGCTTGATGGTCCGGTCTTGAGAACCCGTAAGCAAGAAAGCAGGAGGATGGTTCAGAGGATCATTGTAGGCAGGGGTGTTGGCGGGAGGTGGGACTCGGGGGAAACTAATAGCACCCAATGATTCGGCATGACCGGTGAAGACTGCAAAGCACGTATATGACGAAGACTTGGGGTCGAGACGCCAGAGACGTGCGGTGTTATCCTTTGCACCAGTGACCAGCCAGTGACCAGACCAGTCTACATCAAGACAGATGATAATGTCGTCATGGCCCTCGAGATGTGTGATATCAGCACCAAAGTATCCTTCATTATTGGCAGACGGCCTGTCTTCGGATGGCCCAACTGATACGATGCGGATGCTTTCGGTGTTTGTAGCCAGGGCCAGCATCGAACGGTCAGGGCCGACATATGCGAGATCAATAATATCGTCGTCGTTGCCCGAGATGCGCCGGATGATCGGCAAAGGATCGATTGTGGTCCCTGGCTTGTAGTTGGACAAGGGCTCCAGAGAGTAAAACCGGATGGTCTGGTCAGCATGAACTGTCAATGCAGATGTCATGCCAGGAGAATATTGAATCGCCACAACGGCCTCATATTCAGAGGCAGGTTCTTGTTCCGCAGTGACCTCGCCTCCACGATTGCAGTCCCACACACGCAAGCGACCATTTTCACCCGCAACCAGACACAAACCACTATCGGCGACAAAGCAGGAGGCCTCCACACTTTCGAGGACCGGAATGATCCTCCGCGTCTTGAAAGTCCGCATGTCCCACACAATCACAGTCTTATCACGGCTAGCCGAAAGCAAGGCATTCTCCGATGGCGAATATGAGAGGCTGCGCACAACCGAAACATGAGACTCGAGCGACGCGATAGGCTTCCTCTTGTTCAAATCCCACACGCAAACCTTACCCTCCTCATCTCCGGAGGCAAGCCGGAAAACTCCCGTTGAATCCTCTGCGGTCTCGTCGTCATCTGAGTCTTTCGATTGATTCTTGTTCTTCCTCTTACTCGAGGACGATTTGTTCGGAAAGTCTGGCGCCTGGAAGAAGCACAGGGCTGAGATGACACCTCCATGGCCATGGAAGGTATGTGTGATAAAACCGCCTCGAATATCCCAGACCTTAATCGAGCCATCCGCGGCGCCAGTCGCCAGTAAGGTACCAGTAGGATCGATTGCAGTCGTCACAACAGGTGCTGTGTGAGGCTTGAGACTTCTGGCTAATTTCGCGTCGATCGTACGTGTGGATTCGTCGAGAGGTGACAGAGAGTAGATTCGCATGGACATGGACCGCGAGCACATAACAACATGTGAGGCCGATGGGGAGACTAAGCACAGTTAGGAAGACCGAACAGTAAATCACTCGAGGCCAGAGGGTTGCATACTAGCTAAGCTTGTGATAATTTCGCCATCCTAGATATGTCCATATAAGCGGCTTGCAAACACAGCGGTGATGTAGAGTACTTACGCCTTCCAGACTAGCGACCTGGTCTCCAGTCTCCAGGTCAATGACGAGAGCATCTTCACTGATGCATGTAACCAGGAAACGGCCACTGGCATCGAGCGCAGTGCTTCCTCCGGTGTAGATAGGACGAAGTGTGCGAGACGCCTCGAAGGTCGTCTTCACCACGGCTTTAGACATGATATGTGAAACTATTCAGCGATTGAAAGCCGAGAGTCTATCGCGCCATGCTAGATCCAATAGGATCCACGTCAACAAGATATTCTGCGGTTGCTGGACGCCGCTCAACTCGCCGTCGCACCGGAAACTTCTGATCTTTTTTCGAGATGTTTGCCTTGTTTGTCTTTCTTACCTGCCAGTGGATCCCCGATCCCCGCTAGCCCAAGTTGTAAGCGCTGGAGCCGCCCCAACCGCCCACGTGCCTGCCGCTTTCCTTTCTGGGAATGATAGTCATCTTCCGCCCATCGACCAGCATAGTACATCATTCCAAGACCATCCAACCGTCCATCATCCCAGTCAAACCAGACGGCACTTGACTTCATTCCGTCTGTAAAGGAATGGCTTCGCGAATCTTTCAGGACCAACACTAACAAGGTGCTCACGCGATGGGGCGCCGAGCGTACCTGAATCGACTGGCTTTGGTATGCTCCACCTTCTTGTTCCGTTTCCATATACAGTACTCAGAGCTGTAACCCCACATGAGCAGCCTCTGTCATGGTTCATTTTCATCATTCATCGTGAGAAATACTCTCATCACTATAATCATATTCTTGATGCACAGCAATCACGGTGGCATCATGTGTGATCTCAAACTTAGCCTCTTCCTCCCTTCAACTGCCTGTCTACACATCTATGTACCCTATGAATTTCTTGCTTGGCGCCCTTATACTTTACACTGGCAATCCCCATATCTCTATCTGAAGCCTATTGTTAACACCTCAAATAGGGGCGGTCACCCTATGAGGCTCCTGATCGTTCCACAGGCTCCGCAGCAAACCATGAACCTGCTCCTCACAGGAGAGTATCGGCTCTGCATGCGGATGACTATGTCCAGCATTATGATGAGAGGGGCCATCCCATTAATCCAGAGTCCAAGTATTTTGGCAGAGAGCTAAGAAGAGCCAAGAATGACGTCCTATCCACGATGGGAATCGTTGTCAGTGAAGAGGGCAACATGGGCGGCCCTACTGAACAACAGAAAATTGACATGATCGCGGCTGAGAATGACTATGGCTTGGTCATGGCTACTCTAGACCAGATCTCGGTCTTTCTTGGCTCCTGGTGGACTTCCTCCTTAATGGGCCGGATACTGGTAACTATCTCTGAACCTGCGACTAGAAGAAATGATGAACAAAATCAACCTAACCACTTAACCAGACCTTCAAAAGTTACACGCATGTTCCCTTGCTCAGTATGATACATCTAGAGCGTACGAAGCACGGCATAATGGGATTTTACTTTGCGGGTATCCCAGCTTGGGCAGTCTCAACATGCTTATCCTTTCTCCGACATCATCCGCTGGATCGCTTGATTGCGGCCTGCCAAGATCTATTCCCGAATGATAACGTGCTGTCAAGGCTTGTACGAGCCACTTTGAACATATTACACTCGGCGTGAGTACTTTGTGCGGTCTGGTCTTTATCACTAGCTAAAAGCGCATGCAGAACTCGAGGAAGCCTACTTGTCCTAGCTATACAAACTTACATGTACTCCCTGTTACAGTCACTTCACCTCGTTCATCCTTACTCTCTAGTAGGGCTAAGGGCTCTTCTGCCTTTCGGTGAACATGCTCCGATGCAACTTCCCATGTTACCAAATGACCTCTCGCCTCGTTCTATGGTCGGGTTCTTGACAAATATCCTAAAAACACCCTCACTTCTTGTTTACATCTATGTGTACCTACGCCCAGTCGTCGAGATCAGGCTCTATCGCCTGATTCGACGAAGGTTGCCGAAGCCCGTCTACGCAGACGATCTTTCGGTCAAAGTGGCCTACGATAATGACCTTATTGACTGGATGATGCCAGCTCTTGGTCGTCGAGCCGATGAAGAGAATCGTCGCAGCAACCTTACATTCATGGAAGACTTGGCCTACGAAGCCAACTTCTTTCGCACGTGGATTCTATCTTGGTTTGGCTTTAAGACACAACTGATAGGGTCAAGCCCGGAACATACGTCAGAAACGCTTCGTCGTAGAGCACAGATAGAATCAGGATCATCAGGCGCGCAGCTGTCACGCGATGAGCGCCAAACACAAATCACTCCGCAGAGCAGACAAGAATTGGACACTGAACAAGCGCAGCGGACTGCCGCTCCTCGATCTTCCGTTCCTGGCGGCACTGTAAGTTCAGATGCCATCTTCAGCGAGACTCAAGTGCTTTCGAATGAAGAGAACAGAATGTCTCTGTCTCCAACAGAAATGAGCAGCGGCGATTATGCGGACATGGCGCCATTGAGACGGGCGATGGCCTTACCCCTAGAGGAAGATCAGAATAATCGGGCCTTGCCGCGCGGCGATCATGCTGCTGAGGCTCCGAGAATGTCGCGGTCGAGTACGCTTTTTTCCCGTCCCTCATCGTCTGCTACCTCTTCTCCAGCTTCGCCCCTCGTGCGTGCGTCGCTGATACATCAGAATTCGGACGTCATCACGATGCAGCTAGAAGTGTTAGGGAACCGTCATGAGCACAACGCTGGTACAGAAGAACCGAGGGCCAGCAACGACCCTGGCCAGCCACACTCAAACGGAGGGCCTGTCAATAATCAGGCGATCTCAAATCTGCTCGACGATCTGCTGGCGAATCAGGGCATGAATCTAGCCACCATTGTCAACACAGATGCTCTAGACAGCGATGGACTTTCTAACATGACCCAAGGCATATCTCCAGGATCTGTCGACACAACACCAGTATCTGCGGAGAACCCTCAAGTACAAAGTCCGGGGGCAAATCCACGCCCTATCGGAATTCCTACAACAAACCTTCAGAATGCATTGCCAGATAGCACAGGGACACCGGATCAGACCGATATGCCCCAGAGACTATCTGAAGTCGCTCAGACCTCTGCGAATAATGTCAGCTCTGGAGCTCCTCCGATTGCTTCTGATGGCCGGGCACCACAAACTTCAATAACCGACTCTCATCCTATCGCCCATCGAGTCACAATTCTATCGTCTCATCCCATTGATTCTCTAGCCTCTCACCTAGCTTCTCTAATCACGACTTTGATGTTCATTCCTCTTGAATCTCTTTATCTCCGCTCACTTGCATCTTCTTATCTATCAGCTACAGATGCTCCCGCTGCTCTTCGGTCAGATGTTCACAGCATGGGACTCTGGGCTAGTGGCGGTTCGCGATCCAGTACACTTATGTACTTTAGCAAAGTTGCATTGATGATGGGAGTACAAACGGCCGTGAATGCTAGTGTGTGGGGCATCATCTCCGGTGCTGCCATCAGAATTGGGAGAAAGTATTGCGGTTGGGGATCATTATAAGCATATGTAATATAGTTAATATCGCCAATTCTCATGGTCAAATTACTGTCATGCTTGAAGGGGGGCTTGCCTTTTGATCCACAATCTTATGTATGTGCGAATCCACACAGGCACATACGCTAGCTGTCGGAAGTTGATGCAATTTCTAATATTCCGGTATAACCAGATGTCCTCCATTGAGGCATCACGAGGATCGAGGAAAGATCTCCCTGACAGATACAAGACACCAACCGATACGAGCAGTAGGTATGGACGATTTCTTTCATCATGATCATAAGAACTTAATTATACATGATTTTGATCAGCATGTGTGTACCAACCCTGAGTGCGGGACATCCAAGCACACGCACAGCTAGCCAAATCCAGGAGAACCCTTATCCTGCGGTTCACTTGGCCGCAGCTTTTCCCTTGCCGTTCGCTTTCCCAGGCACCTTACGACGCTCCCATACCATCAGATATCCCTCCTTGGTGAACAAGGTCTCACTTTCCGCCTTTTTGACGAACAGATCCTGGATCTCCAGCCACTCGGGCCCCCGCTGCTCGCCAGCATGTTCCTTTTGGATGCGGCCATTCTCCGCGGCCATGGCCTTATCGTGGAGTTGTACAAGCCAGGAGACCTTCTCGCTGCCCGCGCCTGCGCCGCTCGATGACGACGACCCACCACCACCGCCGCCACTGCCACTTCCACCTCCCGCTGCGTTGACACCCTTGTCCGCTGCGGCTTCCTCGTGGGCCCCCGGTGCGGCCACGGTGGGGTCGAGGATGATGTTGGCGACGAGATCGTAAAGGATGGGTTCGCTGTGCGGCCAGATGGCGGGGTTGGGTTCGACATAAGGCGACATGTCGAGGGAGCGCGGCGAGGGAAAGGTGACGATGGTGGGGTTGCGCTCGGAGACGAACCGGTTCTTGCTGAAGCGTTTGATGTGGAAGAAGAGGTAGGGGGGTAACGGGTGGAGGAGGCGGTGGCGGACGCGATGGGCCAGCTTCTCCGAGGCGGTGATGCCGTTGTACTTGTTCAGGAGGGTGGTCAGGGGCACCTGGGGGATGATGGATTCGCGGTTGGAGGATTGGAAGAGGGGGGTCGGGGGCAGGTCGAGGGTGAGGATGAGGAAGGGGGTAGTCTGGCTGTTGATCGTGCCGGATTCGGTGAAGACCAGGCGCGCGTTCTGGGTGTCGGAGTGGGCGGTGATGGCTTGGCTCTCGATGCGGAGATGGCCCTGGAAGGCCGCGTGGACGACACTCGTGGGCGTCTTGGTGGGCTTCTTGGAGCCGCCGAGGGACAGGTGGAGGTTGTTGAGGAACCAGGACAGGAACTCCACCGGGTCGGATTGCTGGGTCAGCGTGAACCGCTTCGACGAGCGCAGCGCGATCTCCTGCAGGAGCTCGTGCGGGGACACATGCGACCGGAAGGCCTTGTGGTTCCACAGTTTGCGCACCAGCGTGCTGAACCGCACGGCGAGTTGGGGGGTGCCTGGTTGGGAGAAGTCGTGCAGTAGGAAATAGTTCCGGATGGGGAAGACATGCGCAAGCAGTTGGACCACGACGTTGAGGTAATCGTTGGCTTTGATATTGTTCATGCCAACAAATCCTGGGGCACAGTATTGTTAGCTTGTTTCTCCTTCTGATGTTGGAAGCTGGGGTTGCAAGGGACGCTTCTTACCAGGCCTGTAGCGATTACCTGCAAGGTCGAACGCATCATGAACCTCTTTATCTAATTTGGCCACCTCTTCCTTGTTGTAGTGCGGGTCGACAACGTATTTGATGTCGTCCAAGCTCTTGTTCTTGACCTCGTAGCCTTCGGGGAGAACGTACACCTTCTTGGTTCCCATGTTGATGAAGACATGGTGTCCGACCTCGAGCGCATGGAAATAGGCATGCGACTTCGGCCCTCTTCCCTGGAAATATTTGCCGCAGACGAGGCAGGCGTACACGTTGATGTTCGACAAGCTCACGGAGCATTGCTTCTCGAAGTCAAAGTCGAGGATTTCGCGATTGATGGTATCGAGGTAGAGATCGCTGTAACCCTCCAGGGGCGCACTTTGACGTTTCGGGGCTGCGATGGCCGGCCTGTCATCATCGGTATCGGCATCAGAAGAGTTGTTGGCTCCCAGGTCCTGCGCCGCCTCCTCGAGTTCCTCTCCTTCCTGCTCGGCAGCTGCGAGTATGTCCTGGCCGTTGGCTCGGCGAAGCGGCAGAGCTTCACGGCGCGGATCGTCTTCGGGCAGGTCGCCATCTTCCACGCGCGCCTTCTTCGAGGCAGGCGAGCCCAAAGAGATTTCCTCCTCTTCTAGCGACAGTTCCGCTTGTCTTTTCGACATCATGACTGAGTATACGACGGAAATTCGACATGAAACATGCGGCGTTGCGGGATTGAAACTGTGAGGACGCGATAGGAACCAGTCGATGCAAACACGTCAAACAGCGTCATGCGGCGGGCGATTGCAGCAGCATCACCGCTCGATCTGAAGCTAACTTAACATCATCAACACTCTAGACGCAGATTGCACAATGCATTTCACTATTCGAAAAGTCGTTGCTATAAGTCTCTACCTCAGCTAAATCATGGGCAAGACTAGTTCGTCCTGGTCAAACTCATGGGAATTATCCTGCCATGCCGACCGATCCTCTTAGAAAAACCAAGTCCCGTAAACCGAAAACATAAGACAATCATTGGTATGATACAACACATTAGGCACTCTTGACAACCCTGTTATTATCAACTTCTACCTCCCGCACGCCATCCTTGGTTATCACCTTGACAAGGACCTAGAAGCTGTCAGTAGACCCGGAATCATATTGCGGTTCGATTGCAGAAGAGAGCTTGTCACATACCCCCTTGTAGTCGATTGGTAGTCGGCGCTTCAGCTCGTCCGTGCACATTTCCAATAGCTTCAGACCTTCATCGAGGGAGATATCGGGATGGTGGTGTTTATCGAGGGTGGACAAGCAGTAGTATCTGAAGCATCTTAGCACAGGCCTCGGCGAAGAGTGACAGATTGTCTGTATCACGTCCAAACTTACTGGGCATAGCCGTGAGCTGCGTAAGGTACCGACGCCACGGAGGCCAGGTAGTCGATCCAGTACAAATGGGGCTTCTGAGTGATTGGATCCATTCCGCCCAGCAGAAGGTTGACTGTGTAGGGATTCCGGGATCTCAAGCTCCGCGCGAGCTCGCCTCGGACGAAATTGGCAACCGCATTCGGACCTAGTTCGGTGTCGTTGCGCATGGTGTATAGCTGGATGTTGGCTTGAATGTATTCGGCGAATTGGACTAGCGATTCGTGCGGTTAGCTGCAAGAGCCGACCTGGAGAGTGGCTTGTTGGTCAAGCCGCAAGGAACCCACCAGTGTCTCCGGCCTCTCCGGAGAAGGCCATCAAATTGTGCTTGTTCAACTGTCTTGTCTTATCGTCTTCAGCTTTGATGATGGTAGGACCGCGCATGATAGCTTTGGAAGCCGCCAAGATGACGAAGTCCTTGCCAGTGATGCCGAGTAGTACCTCCCTGTAAGCAGATTAGTCGACAGGAATCTCTCAATGTGGGCAACATAAAACGTACATAGCTGCAGTCTTTATTCTAGGGTATGACAGAAGAAGAGAAAATAAGAGGGAAGGGAAGGCAAAGTGATGTATAGATGTGGGGAGAGGAAGATGATGATTAGGACCTCATCGCTGGCCGCGCGGAGCTTTGACTGCCTGGAGCTGCGGCTACGAGGGCCCAGCTGCCTGAGGCCGGAGCTGCCCTCTTGCTAAGTCAGCATTTAGGCGTTACGTTGATGCGGCCTCCGCCTGCACAGACCACCGGCAGAAAAAAAGTGAGCAAGCGAGTATCTGCGTTGGGTCGGAGTGTCTACTGTCAGTTCACGTGTGGTCTTCTTAATTTTACGCCACTCTTTTCTCATTCAAAGTCAAGCCACTTACTCTGGGCAATGTCCTCTTTCTTCACAGTCCCCGCTTCCCAGCGGAAAAGAAAGAGAGAAGATCGCGCCGCTGCCCCGGCGTCGAAGAAACGAGGCGTCGATGCGAAGGGAGATGCAACCGGAAGAAGTGGCGGCAAACGCAGGGATCAGGATGAGGAATCGATTTCGGGGAGCGATATAGATGAGGATAACCTCAGCGTTGCTTCTGGTGTGTCAGACGACAGTGGATCGGAATCCGACGAAGGCGAGACCGCCGCCGACCGGAGATTAAAGCTTGCGGAGCGCTACCTGGAGAATGTCCGAGATGAAGTGGATGACATTGGTTTTGATGCGGCTGAGATCGATCGCGATTTGATTGCGGAGAGATTAAAGGAGGATGTGGTACGTATCGCTATCCTTGTCTTCCATCCGCTCAACGGAGCTGACACTCGGGCCAGGACGAGTTCAAAGGACGCATCTACCGCCAGATTGCATCAGACCTCGCCTTTTCGAAAGCTTCGCATACATTTTTCCGAGCAGATACACAGTCGACCACTTCGATCGCAGTTCACGCGCCCTACGTCTATACCGTGTCAAAGGATCGGACCTTGATTAAGTGGGAGCTTGCCGCACCCACTTCCGCAACTGCGCTGCCCTCAACAACCGGAGATTCCAAGCGTCGCCCACGTCCACAGAGAAAGAAGCCCAAGCAAGTGAAGTATGTGCGGGGCTTGCGGAAGGTTGCTGAGACTGGCGAGGAGCATGGCCACACCAAGAGCATCTTGTCTGTTGCTGTATCACCGTCCGGAAAGTTCGTGGCAACTGGTGGTGAAGACAACAAATTGATCGTCTGGGATGCGGAGACCCTGACTCCTTTAAAGACCTTCACACAGCACCGCGACTCTATCAGCAGTCTCGCCTTTGCCCGCCACATATCCACCATGAGTTCCGGAGAACAGCTGTTCACCGGCTCAAATGACCGAACCATCAAGACCTGGTCTCTAAGCACTGCTGGTCATGCCTACGTTGAGACGCTGTTCGGTCATCAGGACCATGTCACTGGCGTTGCCGCCATGACGATCGATCAATGTATCAGTGTCGGGGCACGCGATCGCACAGCGAGATTATGGAAGGTCATCGAGGAACAACAGCTGATTTTCCGCGGCGGATCTAAGAGTGCTTCTTACCAGGAAAGCAACATCGACTGCGTGGCACCTCTACCTCCGAACCACTTTGTCACCGGCTCGGACTCGGGCTCCCTCTCGCTTTGGTCTGTTCACAAGAAAAAGCCCCTCTTCACGATTCCGCTCGCCCACGGCCTCGATCCCTTACCTCCCCTGGACGAGCTCTCCGCCGAAGTCGACCAAGCCACGGCTGCCCACAACTCCCGCCATCTCCGCCGCATGCCTCGCTGGATTACGGCTCTGGCCACAGTGCCCGGCACGGACATTGTGCTTAGTGGTAGCTGGGATGGATTCATTCGCGCATGGAAGATTTCAAGCGATAAGAGGACGATCGTTCCCTTGGGCCCCGTTGGAGGCGTGTCGAAGATGTCCCTAGCTCCCGATACGCCTTCCGAGCAACTCCGACAAACGCTCGAATTCGACACACCCAGCGCCTCGGACCGCATGGATGTGGAAGGTGCACCGACTCAAGTGACCACCGGCGCCCCCGACGAAGAAGAGCCGCTCATCAAGGGCGTCATCAACGGCCTTGCCGTGTTCGAACGCCGGGTCGAAACCGCCAAACCCGGCCAGGCCCCAACAGAGTCCAAGTCCAAGACGACGACGTCCTCGGAGCCGGAAGCTCGCGGCCTATGCATTGTGGCAGCCGTGGGCAAGGAACACCGTCTGGGACGCTGGAAGTGTTTCACCAATAATTTCCACGAAGGTCCCTCGGCTGAGGGCCGCAATGGGGCTGTCGTATTCGAGGTTCCGTTCATCGGTGACAAGCTCAATTGAGAAGACAAGAAGCATCACCAAGGGATTTTTTTTTGTTTTGAAATGAATCATTGTGAACACGGCGTATGTGTGTCTATCTCATCTTCTTTCTTCCATGTGTATTACTATTCCCGGGCCCCGTGGTCTTTGCATATCCTCATATTCTTCTGGTTCAAAAGTTTCTTCTGCTCTTCGCATCCGGAAGATCTCCTATTGTCTTCCCTGCTCATTGTTCTCCTTTGCTCCTAGGTGTGCTGCGGATCTGCCGGAAATGTACTGTACATATACCAGATTTTTCGTGAATAGACGGAATACACTTTAAAGTTCCCCGAGCAAGTTATAGACTACGGAAGGGACTGTGATGCACCAGGATGCGGAAGGAATTGCCATAAGACTCGGGCTAGCAGTTTCCTCGTTCTCTTCTAGTCCTCCTCGTAGGTCTTACAGGGCCTTCGTCTTCTGAGGAAGAGGCGATGTATATTGCATTCGCCTCGGAGTTGGCAGGAGGGTTCTGAGTACGGCGAAAGGCGCCCGATGTTGTCCTAGGCGCCGCATCAGCCGATCGAGAAGCCCTGGTGGACTGCTCTGGCTCGGGAGTAGGCGAATCCGATGGCACGCGATATGCTGGCACTCGATTTCGCCGGCTACTGCTAATAGCAGGTCTGATAGGCTCGTCATCATCGTCATCATCGTTGTCTTCCGAGTTTTCCGAGTTTTCTGAATCATGTGAGTCCTCATCTTCTTCGCTGCTACCGTCTTCGCTCCCATCCAGCATCTCGTCAGGCGTACCGCTATTTAGAACCTCGGATCGTGTAATTGAGTATTCATGATGCCCGACAACTGTAGACCGGTCAGACTCAGAATAGTCGCCATGGTCATGTTCTAAGTCGTCGTCAATGAACGAATCCATATCCGCATCGTCATCTTCATCGTCCATTTCACTATCTTCGATTCCCGAAGAAGGACCTGCAGTCCAATCGCCGTAGGGCCAATACCCGCCGGGTTGCCGATACAATGCGTCGTGAAGACCTGGCGGCAAAGTTTGAAGGGTTGTGTATATCTCATCGAAGTCATAATCTTCATCATATTCTCCGAACCCGTCCTCAATGTCATCGTCCATGTAGTCGGTCATCTCTTCGGACCCTTCCATGTCGCTATAATATGTGCTCGTTATCGAGTCGCGATCTCGTTGGTAACCGCAGTGTATACATTCATCGTCCTCCAACTCCCATGCACAGTGCGGACAACGTAATATGTTATCATCGTCATCCATGATGGGCTGACTAATTTTCGGCTTGTTGAAAGTTCCCCGAAACAGACCTCCTTCCTTAGGGTCTGCATTCTGTCTGTCCTTTTCTAACCGCTCTGCTTCCTCGTTGTGATGGCGCTGGTGCTCGTCTGTGGTCTCGCCCTTGTCGAGTAGTTCGGGCTGGCTCGTGAACATTTGAACAACGGCTCTAACCTTTGAAGTGTGAGATCGAGCCTTTTTCTTCTTCGCTTGGCTAAGGATGAGTCAGGGTGTCTTACCAAGTAAGCAGGTGCAGGCTGCGCCTTCACTGGGGCCCGACAGTCAGGGCATGTTTTGTTGTGTCGTCCACCAACGAACCATGAGGTCAAGCACTAAAATGCGCTGTCAGACGCCGTGCGAATAGCTATGCCAAATATATGGAGAGCTTACACTGTAACAAAATGTATGCCCGCAAGCCAAAGTATAGGGTTCATAGAGCGGCCGGATGCAAACGCCGCATTGTATGAGGGACCGAATGCTGTCGACATGACCTTGTAAAGTTTGGAAGAGCTATTAACACGATGTTAGCAATGTATTATTCGAGATATCCGCGTAAGTCGCTCACCCCCGACGCGTTGTCTCCCGTGTTTATCGCGGGCGCATTTGTGTTATCGGCACCATTGTTCGAGACGGCAGCCCCGGCAGCAGCTTGGGCCATTTTTTTCGATATTTGCTTTTGCGCAGCCCGATGAAGATGTATATGAGGTGAACGTAAGACCGTATATCAAAGTGCGCGAAGCTCTTGGAAGTGGATGATATGAGAAAGAGGTCCTGTTGTTTAGGAAAGGGTGAGAGATAAGTATGGACTTTTCAGGTACGCGAGACGATCGGCGACATCACTAGAGGGAGGGAGACAGGCAACTATGGCAGGAGTAAAATAGCCCCCCACCAAGTGGTTTTTAGCCAGAAAATTCGAAGAGGAAGCAAACCCGTAATTATGAGCTAAATGTGACCTGGGCGACCTCGATATGCGGCTCGCGAAAGATAAAGAAGAGAGATGAGACGAGGAGAGGAAGCAAAACTCGGCACTCATACCGGTAGGATTAGTTTTTGGGGGGGGAAGAGAGACTTCCTTATTCCTGCCTGAGGAACACCGATCACATTCACTTTGTCTTGGCCGGTCGGAAGTTCCGCGCGCAAACCGAACAAACACATCAACATCAACATCATCTTTTCTCCCTACCTCACGGCCCGAACTAATGGAACGGTTTAACTATGAAGATCCAACTGGATGGGATCCATTCTACCCACCGGAATAACTTCCCCTATCATGGGGAGCATTTAGCGCCGAGTTCGATCCGGGCGTCAGCATCCTGTTAGCGCCGGTTATCTTCGTGAGATGGAGACAGCCTTCTCGATCTCTCAGAATGCTTTGGTTACCAAGCTTACCGCGCGGGACAATTGCCCTCCCCTAAGACATGATGTTTCATGACATAAAACCCGAAACCACTATTATCTTCTACTTTTGTGGTCGGAAACCGATTCAGGTCACTGTCTATGAAAAGCATGGGCCTAACTAACAAATGTCTGGCGCGCATCCCTAATTCATTACGACATGATAAGATTGGCCCAACGGCAACCCTTGGCTCGCTTAACAAATCGAAAGCCACCATACGACAACCTCATATTGGCCGATGGAGAAGAAAAAGAACAATTTAGTACCGCTTCATTCATCCACATGAGTCGCTGCTCGGATCTACTCCACAGCAGCAAAGCTTCGTTTTTTGGAACGCCGCTGCTTGAGATCTTCTGATACCAGGTGGCTATCGTCAGTAACACCTTTGATAACTTTATTATCTTCAACAATCTCCTTGTCCATGTGCTCCAAGAACGCGATCTGTTCTCGAATAAACTGCTTCAATCGGCGCGTGTCGAAAGGTCTGGTCGCTCTTTTCTGATCACGCATGAATCGGTTGGCATCTCGTAGGCGCTCTTCGAGGATCTCAAAGCGGTACTCCGCGAACTGGTGGTACAAGTCGCCAAGCTTAGAGATTGGACGTACTGTTGTAAGTACAGTGTCGTCTTTGGTGGCTGAAGCGCGGGGCCGAAAAGAGGTGACCATGGAAATTCGCTCAGTTGTTCCCAAAGCACGGAGTGCCTGATGCTCGATATAGCGCCCCTGAAGAATGACGGCAGATCCCTAAAAGACGCTGTAAGCCTGCTACCACTTGGACCAAGCTCTTCAGACTTACCATCTGTGGTCCTCGGACCTTCACCACTTCGCCGTCACCTTTTCTCAAAGCTGTCTCGCCGCCAATCATGTTTGTACAGTCGGAAAGCATAGTCACGCAGACAAAAGGATAACTGTCTGTATGCCAATCAACAATCGGGTTTTCGTCCTCCCAAGGACAGCCGGCCACGCCTTCGTCTGCTTGTCGAGTCGTCTTCTCCATGACCGCTTTGAGAGCTTCGTTCTTCTCCTGCTCGCTGTGAACGGAGATATTGACGTGGCCAATCTCGAAGTCCATGGCGGGAACGAGATCAACACCGGCAATTTTTGAGATGATTGCCAGCGTCTCCGGATTTTTCCAGGCATCATAGATGAACGGGGCGCATCTATGCAACAACATCAGCTATGCTCAAAGGTGCTTGGGCCTGGGTTACACACTCTGCCGCATATCCTCGCAACTGGCACTGAGCAAGATCGCTCGAGTACTTATGCTTCATGAAGACTTCATCGCTGAGAACCTCTTCTCGCATTTTTTGGATGGCCTCTGCAGAGAACAATGGGAAAGGCTCGGAGACTCCCACGGGAGAAACACCTCGGCTGTCCGAATAGCCGAGCTCTTTCATGCTGTACACTTTGGAAGGAGCGGTGTGATCCAGGTGCTTGGAGGGGTCAAAGGCAACCTTTCCTGTTGACGAGGTCTTTTGGTGGCTGACTTCTGTCTCTATGGGCTGGATTGGCCCTGCCAGAATTGGCGCTGGTGTCATGGTGTAGGTCTCCACAGACGCCATTGGTCTACAACTGTGAGGTTCTCAGGTCAGAAGCGAATCCAAGATATTTGCCATATGCTATGAATTGGCGGCGGCGACATACCTTTATATGTCGAATATGGACTTGGATCAGGCCGCAGATGGATCCGGATGATAGAGTCAAATAGAGAGGTATACAAAAGATGGAGCTGCCTGAGGGAATGGCCAGGGTAAGTTGGGAAGGGCTTCAAAGGTCATTATTTATAACCATGTCCGAGGTAAGTGGCAAGCTCTAACCAGTCCATCTTGAGGCTTCGCTGGATGACTGTGACAATACCGTATGTGACAAACAAAACAGCTTCTTCAGGCTCCACCGGCCGGACAGAGTGTGTAGTACTGGATCACCATGCAATCGTCTTTGACATCCACGGACTTGAGGACTATGGCGCGCTTGCCAGCCTCTATCGCTCAACGTGTGTTTGCAAGGCAGGTTTTTGTGGATAGACCAGTCTATGGAAACTATTCCTATGTTGGGTTTGGCACAACGGATGCATGCTCCACCATGTCATCTTTCTGAGGTAAAGGACATCTCGTCGATTGGGCCGAATGCTCCTCCCTTAGATTAACATGTGGAACTGGAAAAGCAGAGTGAAGAACTCATTATCTCTCCATACGCTCTGTGACCACGCTCTGTGACCAGGTCACTAGCGCTATGGTAGAGCATGGCAACAAACCTTTTAGGAAGTCCGGACCAGGCCCATGCAGTCTGCAACATACTTCGAGGCCAGTAAGTCTCTTTCATTGCGAAGTGGGCCAGACACCAAAGCCTTCCTTGCGGCTATGAAACCTGGGCAAGAGTTTTGAAAAGCGATCACCGCGATCGGTCGGGCATCAAGGGACCTATTGGATTTGTTGACGGTTTCTAGTGGGGGGGAGTGAAGGGAGAAATTCCGAAGCTTCTCTGCCAAGTCTGGCTGCTGAAAGGACTTTTTGACCCGATTTGGGATTTGGTGTCGTGTCGTGGCTAGTAAGCTATCAGATCGAATGCATGGGATGGTTATCTGTGCTGCTGCCGATAACACAAGCCCCTCTCTCTCTCTCTTGCCCCCCCTACGCAACGCTAGCTATGACAACCGATTCGCCGCCCTTGCGCTGTTCACACAACATGCATGAATTATTCTGTTTTTCTATTCAACCTCTCGTGTCCCGTAGTACCGGTCCCCGGCTATTGCTCCTACCTTTTGAGAAGATTAATATGCACTTGACGGGACTGTTGATGCCGATTTCAGTCTATTCTTAGTCCCATTACCCACTACTTTGTCCCCGCCTATACTTTATTTCGGAAGTGGAGCCTCCATCTAATAGGACTGTTTCAAGGACTTTTTTCATTCGTATGACATAATCGCTTCAAACTAATGAAATAAGTTACTCTGATGGCGCAGGAGAACCTAAGGTAGTCTTTTCATGTTACGTCGCCAATGGTACGCTTGACCAGAACGATGACAAGATGAGCCAAACCCAAAGTCAGCGCACAAGTGATACAGGACCGAACTCAAGCAAGCCTATCCCATAACTTATCCGGGAAAGAGAAAGAAGCGCACATGATCAAGGCAGAGTAAGGCGGGGTAGAGATATCCATTCTGTGATGTTTGTCACATCGAAGGAGGTACTGTATTCAAAGCTCGGCTTCTCAGCCGGGCAGATACACATCAGTACAACAACACTGCTGTACTCTCTCAAAGAAATGGGGTAAATTAATGATCTGTCCTGTTGAAATAGAGGCGTCTCAGTAGACACTTAACTCACTTACATTGTCTGCTCAGCAAACTGTATTCGTACTACGAAAAGATATGTTGAGTTAAGTTAGTGTTAACTATGCTTTAAAGGAATAATGACTAAGAGGGGTCGAAGACCGGAGCCGGAGGGATTTCCCCACGCCAACTTAGGTCGGCGGGTCCAGCTTTTTCCGCCTGCCAATCGATCACTCCACGGAGTCCAGGCTCCCTTACACGTACTTGTCCTCCGCATACTACAACCTACTGTATATCTCTCCGACTACCTTCAGCACTCATCATTTCCATCCTGCCTGCCAATACGTGTGTCAATTGAACTTTGCTGGTATAGAGAAACGATGGCCTCCTCCTCCTCCTCGGAGCAAAATCAGCAGCAAGCAGCAGCAACGCCGTCCTCATCTGCCTCGGACTCGGTCCAATCGAACTCTTGGGAACGGGTTGAGCGGAAATTCTCCAAGTAGGTTAACCCCCTTTTCTTCTTGCCATCCTTAAAATCTTATACCTCTGGCGCTTTTTTTCCAATTTCTCGTTTGCTTGACACCGTAATCTCTCCTTCTTCTATGCGGCTGTTGTCCCAGACGGGGATAAACAACATGCCTTGGCTGCTCTATCGATTGTTGGCAATTGCTCGCTTGCTCGCTTGTACTGCTGGACCAGACCTCTTGCTATCTAGAGTCAGTGCATCTAGTGTAGCATCCATTACTAACAGCACTATAGCAAGTCTGCCAGTGAATACTTTGATCCGTGCCAGGATTTTGCAGACCGGAGTCTGAAATGTATGAAACGCAATGCTTTTGATAGAGAGATGTGTCATGACTACTTCCAGTGAGTATCTTAGCCCATTATAACTCATATTGCCTTCTCTTGTGAACACAAAAGTGTACTTGCGCTTGCTGTTCCCTTATCAAGAGTGCAGATCGTCAGTGTTGCACTCTGTATCTGGTGGCTATTCTCATCCCTGCAGTCGTTCAACTCTATTGTACCATGTGCTGATTGACTCTCCAGGGCTTATCGCGACTGTAAAAAGCAATGGGTGAGTGAAACTTGCTCTAAGTGGTCACCTCCCTTTATCTTCGCCGGCGCTCATCTGTCGGATGCCTTTCCCGGGAGCTTTTGGACCTTCTTGGAAAGGTTTTCCCTGCCGTTCTCGTCATTGCTAACCGTTATCTTTACAGTTGACACAAAAGAAAAGAGGTGCTTAGGCTAGTACAGAAACAAACACATGGCAGCCCACCTCTCTAGGTTGCCTTGGTTTCCTGTTCCTTGATGCCCCACGATGCCAGGACCTACTTAAAAGCCAGCATCGACCTTGGCCGCAAGCCACTATGTAGTGTGATTCATGAAGATAGTGGTGTACTGTGTGCTTCGGTCCTAGATGCCGGCCTCGATCAAGACAAGCAGAGATCGTCAACAATCTTTGCATGGTGTTGTTCTTTGCTCGGCGGCGGGCTAGAGCATTATTGACGGCGCATTTGGCAATGGGCAATTTCTCAAGAGTGAAATGCCTCCTGGGGATATCCACAGGCTGGCCGAACTATCAGGTAGGCGTTAGGCCTTCATCTTGATGTCTTCTTCATCCTTCTCCTCTCCTCGCCTTCCGCCTACGCTTGTACACTACTTGTATGTTTATTAGATGTTGTCATTGAATTGGAAGGGTCTCCTCTCTGTTTTGTTGCTAGGAGTAGCAGCACCGTGGGGTTCACTATGCGCCTTTAAAGTCAAGATGTGTACAAGGGAGGTTTACTTTCGGCCTGACGTTTTGTCCACCAAGATATACTTTCCTGTCAGGCCTGACCACGGACGGATATCCTCGGGCTTTAATCCAACCAGGTAACTCTATCTTGTAACTCCATTCCTGAACCTCTACTATGGGATCATGACAAAGCCAATTATTCCGATGAAATTGGAATCATGATAATTGATCGATCAGTCTATGACTGCGTCATCACCCCACTAACTGAAGGAAGGCATGGCCACATGCCGCCGTCACCGCCTTCCAAATGAGCTTCCCCGCCCACCAAACTCAGCAGAAAGACGATAAAGATAGTTGGAGAAACACCAACAATTTCCCCCTCATCTTTGCTGTATAATTAATTCTTCCGCACGTCGTGTGCTGTGCTGGCTTGCGCAGCATACTTTATACTGCACTCCATAGTTGCTATTGACAAGTCTAGTCTCTAGCCTTATATTCTCCAGCCCCGTGTTTCCTCGAAGCATTTGCTATGTCTTCCACTAATGACGCCGTCTTTTATCGGCGGAACAAGCAGATCCAAGACGCCATTGATGGGCAAAATCTAAAGCAGGCCCTGCAATTGATCGAGAAGCGTATTAAGAAGGGTGAAGACACACCTTTTCTTAAAGTAAGTCCTTCCTCTAGTGATTTGTGTTAAGATGTCTACCTCAGTCGAAGCGAATTTCTGGCTGCATTCAAGAGCTTCCCTCCGATATGATTGTTTCTATGCTAACTGGAGTTTGGACGCTTAATTTAAGGCATGGAAGGCGTATGTTCTCTACCGTCATGCCGACGAAGCCCATCGCAAACGTGGAATCGCCGAAACTCTCGAACTGTGTAAAGCCGAACCTCCCACCACGGATCTGGAGACCCTCGACATCCTCCACGAGACACTGGAAAAACTTAGCGACCATGGGGACACTCTGAGAAACCTGTGGGAAAGGGCCTCTAAGGCTAGCCCAAAGGACTTGGATATCCAGATGCGGTGGTTTGAGTATGGTTTCGAGGGCGACGACTGGAAGTCGGCGCAAAAGGTTCGCAACCATCAGGCGCCGTTGACAGGCTTAAGAGAGGTGCTAACCGGTCTTACTTGGTCAATTCATAGGCTGCCATGTCTCTCCAGAGCAACTTTCCCAAGACTAGGAAGTATTATTTCTGGGCCATCTTCCTTTGCTACCTGATCTCCGTCGATGCGGGTGCTTCGGAGGCTGAACGCAAGCTTTTCGGAACCCTAGCCTATCGTATGATTTCCAAAGCTGGCGAAAGTGTTCCTCAAGATCCGGTATGTTACAACTTTCTTCCTCTGCGATCAGCGGCCTCTCGTCGGTCATATTCCTCTGCGTGGTTGGATATTTGTCTGGACATTATGGTGATATTTGAAATCGTACACACAGAAGGAGTTGCTGAGCCCTCCCAGAGCTATTCAATCGGCCGAGGAGCTACTGTTGCTTGTTAAGATCTTTGAGTCTCAAGAGCGCCATGCAGAGATTGTCAAGATACTCGACAGCGATAACCTAGGTTTGAACTCGCGCGTCGTGCAGAACGATTGGTCATTTGTTGGGGTGAAGCTGTCCAGTCTGGAAAAAGCTCAAATGTGGACAGAAGGTCTGGACTATGCAAAGAGCTTGCTCACTATCCCAAGCAACGAGGAAGAATTGAAGGCTCTTCAAGAACGTGATGATTGGGCAGTCTGGCACTTGCTCCTCACCTCAACTCAGAGGATTAACTCGTCAGAGTAAGTTCGCAACGTGCATTCTCATGCAATGATGAAGCTCCGCCGGCTAAAATGTAAGTCCAGGACTACCATCGCAACTCAGGACTTCATTCGCGACTTTGTGGCAGCGGTGCCCAAGTCTCGCAATGCCCACCTAGCTCGGCTTGACATGGTACACTGGGGTTTTAAGTCGGGTAGCTCTAACGCCGAGGACTTAATCGCCGCCTGTAAACAATACTATGATCTCAACAAGCACAAGCTCTACTGCTTCGGCGATCTGAGGACTTACGTGTCATCACTCGATCAAGCTTCCATGACAAGCCTGGTGAACTATACTTCGGAAGGACAAAACGAGGGGACAGATGTAAGTTGTTTGGAATCTCGTGCGGAGCTGGTAGACTAATTTTGAAACAGGGAGCTTCAGAAAAGGGCGTCGCGACGATCAACGCGCTTAAACTTGAGTACTGTTTCTGTCTTTCGGCCAACGAAGAGAACGTCTCCAAGCCACAAGTCGAAGATTTCATCGTCCGCTGCCTGCAGGTCTACCGTGAGGTCCAGCGTCCCGAGAAGACTTCGGCTCCCACCACGATTGAAAGCCAGCCCAGCGATGACTTATGTATTTTGGCGGCCATGAGCCTGATGCGTTTCAGCGAACCATGCACGTCTGTTGCTGATCAGCAGATTCCTGACGCCGTGCTCATTCGCGCAGCAGCTATCCTCGAACGCCTCCTTGTCGACTCACCCCACAACTATCAGGCATTGTTACTTGTCGTCAGGATCTATCTGCGCTTAGGTGCAGGATCCCTTGCACTGAGCAGCTTCAGTAAACTTTCAGTGAAGCAAGTGCAGTTCGAAACTGTTGCCCACAATCTTTTCACACGCCTTGCCACAATCCACCCACACTCCGCCCCACCAGTTGAGGGAGCTGAATACAAAGACTTCAACCCACAATCCGCTTTTGTGCAGGCCCTTAACTTCTTTCGCACTGCAGATCTCACATCAACCAGGCATCGCACTAGAGGACTAGATTATGGCAGCTATGTGAATATCGAAGGCACCATCGAATTGCAGAGGCGTCTGAGGCAAAGCATCTGCCGCAGGATGTGGGCGCTAGACGTAAGGCGCATACAGAGACTGGCTGGTGGGGACCCTATGACTAGATACGAAGATATGGGTAAGTAGGTTCTGCACCATTACTCTCCTCTCATGCTCACACAACCGCACGGCACAGCTAGAGATGAATCGCCCTTGGTCGACCAACGTGTCTTCGACGCGTTCATGAACTGCGAAGCGCCTGGAAAGCCTACATTTGAGGAGCGCATACGCCTGGGTCCTTTGCCTAGTGTGAGTTCTTCATTTCTCTCGTGATGCCATTGCGACTAACAAGATTAGAACGGATGGATCAAATCTATGAATTTAACCGACCATCTGTTTGGCACTTTGAAGTCTCTGGCTACCCAAAAGCCATTGACTGTTGAGCCCGAGCTACCAAACCTTGATGACATCTTGGGTGAAAATGTGGAAACGGAAATGACAACAGCAGAAATTGAAAGCGTTAAAACAAACCGGAGCCTCCTGGCACTTGCTCTGTTCTTGAGTGGGTCCAAATCTGTTACTGCCGAACAAGCAGACGCCAGTCTTTCCCAGGTGGAAGCATGGTTGGACTCAAGGGTTCAGGATATCAATGATGGTGACGGGAAGGTATCCCCAGTTATTTCGAGAACTGCACTTTCCTTGGATTCGGACGCACCAATTGCGCCAACTTGGAAATACTTCCATGATCAGTTCATGGTCCTGGACTCGCTTAAGGCCTTGTCCCTTCTAACCACCGTCGCCACGCGAAAGGGGTCCAAGAACGCCAAACTGAGTCGGGAAAGAATTGACAAATTGGCTGACACTACGCGCCAAGTCTTCCAGAGTATTAGAACCGGTGGTCGTACGCTCAAGTCTCACGTCTCGGCTTCGGGTGGGTTGGGCGCGTTGATCGACCTGGTCCTAGCTGGTCCCGACCGCGGGCCGGAAGGCAGTAAGCTATCCTCGGAGTTGGACAAGACACTTGATATGTCTCAACTGGAGGTCTTCTGCGGTGAGCTAAAGGAAAGCTGGGAGGAGGGATTGAATGGCCTAATCGCCGTGCACCTGTGAGAGCATCTTGCCCTTCACTTTCCCCTGACACGAATTGAAAGGCGGCCACCGAACCTTGATTATATAATGCTTCGTCAATCCAGTCTTATAGCAAGCTTAGTGGTTAATCGAACATTATTCACCAACTGCCTATGTTTATCAGTCTATTGGGTCGGGCCAATGCGAAAACTGACCATCTCCTTCCGTGCGAACTGCATACAGCCCCAATGCAGCGGAGACAGCTCGAATTCCCTGAGTATGTAAGATTTGGTTCGACCTAGACCACGAGGCTGAGTGGCGTGAATGTCGGTCCGGTCCTGCAAGGGCGCTTATGCGTGTAGCGAAGCAGTCATTCTTCTATCCCTTGTTTGTGTTCCGACCCCGATCGGATGCATACTGAATACCACTTGATCACCATCCTCTTCTTCTGTTTTGTTCTTTGGGTTCCTTAACTTCTTTATGTGCATGTCACCGGCCAGTCGAAGCAAGCCGTAGGTGCATGTTGGACTACGAGGCACGCTATTGCCGTAAGATGTTACACGACCATCGCGCATCGAGAGTCAAAAGGAGTACAGGATATAACGACGGTTAGTTCTTGCCCGATCCCATGCCTGTGTGTGCCACGCACACATTCCTTGTTAGGTGTGGTTGTCGCCTTGCGTCGCCGGCTTACAGCAGGTCGTGGCCGATTTTAATCACAGTGTCACTCAGTAGTCAGCCATTCTAACGGAGCAAGTCTTTGTATATATGCATCAACCAGTAAGCCTTTGCTATCACTGCCAGGCTTTGAAGCTCTAAACTTTGCTTCAGCATGGTCTGCTTCTAGGCTTCAACACCCCCCCCTGTGGTCATATTTGCTTGTGTTTGTTTCTCCCTCTGGACAATGGGTGATACCAACAATGGCTCTACTACATTAACGTATGAATACAGACGCTCGTTGCGATCCGAAGACATACTGACCCTGACGGTATGCCTCACTGTCAGCTCGTGTTGTGTTGCAATGCGCCTGTATTCGAAGATCTCCATCACACGAGCTCCGGGATGGGAGGATTGTATGTACTACGTCCCTGTGAAGTGAGCCAGCTCGCTGGGAATTGGAGGATAATATGATGCTGAACACTGCATTTCGATAGTGACTTGTTTCATGGCTTGGGTATGCGGTTTTGAGCTGCCAAATTCCTTATCATTTCACACCTGTGCACACACTGAGCCTTTCTCTATGACATGGCCAGCTTGGCCTGATAGGATATGGCGCCATCACCTTCGAAACAGATCGACATGGGAACGGCATTCACCAGTGGGCCGTCGCTGCTTCCGATCTGAGAGAATTCTCCAAGGTTTGAGAGGATCCCACCGCGGCCAGCTGTTTCTCGTCTTTGCTGATGGTGAACCATGTAGCTAGCGAACGCCTCACAGGTCCTCTACGGCCCTTTGATCTATATCACTAAGCTATCCATTCTACTCTTATATCTCCGCCTCTTCGCGCCGTCAAAGCGCAACACCCCTTTCTGGCTCATCCAAACCCTCATCTGGATGAATTTCCTCTTCTACTTAGCCGACACCATCGTCAAGATCTGTGAATGCAAACCTCGCGCCAAGATCTGGGACCAAGACATCCCCGGGCAGTGTATCAACATCAACATCCCGATCCTGGTTACGTCCATCGTGAACGTTGTTTCGGACTTTCTCATGCTCCTGCTTCCCATTGTTTGTGTCTGGCGCTTACAGATGACATGGTGGAAGAAGATGAGCCTTTCGGCTGTATTTGCAGCCGGCATCTTGTACGCTGTTCCCCCTTCGGCTCTTGAGTCCATTTCACCTTTTTGTTTCAATCTGGTCTTGCTGAGAGCCAGACCAGTCTGACTTGGGGCGGGAAGCTGAAAAATTACCCTTTCATAGTGCTTGCATCTGCAGCGTGATGCGTCTCGTAGTCAGCGTCCGAAACCGCACCACGCGGGACAGAACGCATGACTGGTTTCCGGAGTTCCTATGGACGTGAGTACTCTTCTTGCAGCTTCATGATTTAGCGAAATCCTAGACTAAAGTACTGGCTTTTTGGCATTGATATAGCACCGCCGAGATCACCTCAGGGATCGTCGCTAGTTGCCTGCCCGCGCTGCCAAGTTTCTTCAAGCATTCGTCCCAGAAAGCCAAGGCTTGGGTATCGAGCATCGGCACGGGGAGCGCTTCCACGCAGGTGAAGGGACCCCTTGCCGCCATCGACCAAAGACCTGGACCGGGACCGGGGCCGGGACCTGCAATGCGTACTATTCCGCAGCGGCTCTGGAGATCTGGCTACGACTTCACAAGTACTACGGAGTCGACGGCAGATAGCTACTGGGAGATGAGGGATGTTGGGGCTTATCGGGGCATGTGCTATACCACGACGGAGGCCACTGCCAATCGGAGTGTACCAGAGGCGATCAATGTGGATGGCCTTGATCCGACAAGTGAGGAAGAGCAAAGGCCCAGAGCCGGGATCTTGAAGATCGTCGAGGTAGATATTGAGACTGGACCTGAGACGGAGCGATGAGAAAGTATAACGAGGACTGGCCATCGGGTGACTCGTGATCAGCCCTCGGCCAAGGCATGCGAAGCACGCCAAGTTCATGTGATCAGGCCTTGCAGACAAAAAAGCGGCGTATAGCGGTAGGAAAAAAATACATATCATATAATCTGTTTCAGCAAGCAGGCTACCTGAGCAGCTAAATCAGTATACTTGAGAGTTTATGAGATCCACTAATCGGCGCAGCAGATTACCTGTCAACCGATGGCCAGTCCCTCATAGAGCTTATCACATACGCAGTGTAAACATGATAGGGAAGAGCAATATACTACATAGCGTAAGTAAACAGGTACGTAGTAATGCAACCTGGGTTGGGGAAAAGTGGAAGCTGGAAGCCACTTTCTCCACAAAATACGGAGTACCTAAGGCAAGATGTACCGATTAGCGATTAGCGATAAGCGATAAGCGATAAGAGATGGCTATGACACGTGACAGAGCTGCGGCAACCCTAAGCCCTACCCTCGCTACGCACTCCCGCAACGGCCAACCAAAAACTGGCAGACTCCATCGCGATTCCCATCCGCACCGGCGCACGTCGACTCGACAACCTCTCAGCAGCAACACCGTCGTCGCCAACCGCAGTCCATAACCGTCGTGATGGCTCAGGAACGCTCCGGAATCGTGGTCGGCCTCAACAAGGGTCACGTACGTTGTCCCCTGTTCTTTTGATCTCCTGCAACAACGATTTGATCCGGTCGAGTGTGGTGGAAAAAAATGTCGAGGGTGGGAAAATACACACGGGAAGGAGGATTTTCCTATGCCAAGGGCAGGGTGAATTATTGTCGAAACCAGAGATGTCACCATGCTTTCAGGAAGGCTATCTGGAGATTCATGGAATTGAGGAAGGGAATAAGGGACTTTTTTTTTGAGGGAGAAAGGAACTCGAACTTGACCGACTTGGCTGGATCAAATCGCGCTCCACTTCCGCTACCTTCCTTGACGACTTTGCAAGGAAAATTCGGCCATGGAGAAATACGGACACAGTTACTGACCTGATGCTTCGGCCATACAGAAGACCACCCCTCTTAACACCCCCAAGACCCGGGTCAGCCGTACCAAGGGCCAGTCTTCCCGCCGTACCGCTTTCGTTCGTGAGATCGCCCGCGAGGTTGTCGGTCTTGCCCCCTATGAGCGCCGCATCATCGAACTCCTGAGAAACACTCAGGACAAGCGCGCTCGTAAGCTCGCCAAGAAGAGGGTACGTCTTTGCATGATGAAATCTTTGATGGGTGAAGGGAAGGGAAAAAGGGTTCGCGGGCAGCTCGTTTTGTTTCGGTTTTGCGCCAATCCGTATTCGTTGGTCATCCTCGACAATCATTTACTGGGTATCGGAGAATGGCAATTCTCTTGAACTTCAACTCGGATTGCATCGACTTCGCACCGACATCTCAACATCATATTCCATGATCTTCACCTCTGCCAGCTCGACTGCAACAAACGACCACGTCGACCCTGCACGAACAATCGAACCGATGGGATGAACCTGAACCGGAACAAACGAGCCAGCTCTCCGAACTCTTTCCCCCAACCGTTCCCCTTCCCGTATCTCCTCCATCCCGCAGATTTAACTAACAACAATCTCCTCCAATTTAGCTCGGTACCTTCGGCCGTGGCAAGAGAAAGGTTGAGGACATGCAGCGGGTCATCGCCGAGGCCCGTCGTGTTGGTGCTCACTAAACGTCTTCTTTTTCTCTCTCTCCATTTTCCTACCCAAAAACCACCAACTGTGTTTCTCTCTCCCGATTAGCCAAGAATGAGATAACGAGAACAAAAAAATCATTCTTCTCTTTTATTTGTCATCAGAGTGGAAGGATACAACAATAATGGAATATGAAGAAAAGAAGAGGACTAGTCAGTGACGAGGAGAAAACCACCACGCACGTCGCCCCATCCCAAAGAATTAAATAAAATACCCTTTCTCGGCCTACCTACTTTTCTTCGTGCACTGTAGATTTGGCTGTGTCTTCTGCTATTGCTTGTAGAGGTTGAGTGATTGTGATGATGAATCTGGACGGTGGACGGGCGATTGATTGGCCTTTTTCTGTGTCAACAATGGGTGGATGGTGGTCTAGGCCTACGTAGGCTCTGGAATTCTGGTGTCCCTTGCAGTGATTATGGATTGGATGGTGAGTTGGTTCAGGTGGAGAAGGAGCCCGTGGCTCCCTCTGGTGTTTGCTATCTCTGGTCCCATTGATCCCATGCGGAGAAAGCATGCCTACACATCACGGGGAGTGATAACGGATGAGCTACTGCTTCTAGAAACGGTAGCGTTACCCACAGGTTCATGTAACTTGGACCACGCCAACTATGAAAGATCTCGACGTCGTACCCTCGCTACTACCACTCGGAACTAGATGACCATGTCAGTATCATACGATCATGTGAAGCATTTCATTCATTATCTATGTTCGATTTCTACAAGACGTTCCCACCCATCTCCCTATTTCTTGCCTGGCAACTTCAACCACTTGGGTATTCCGCCGGGCTTCCGCTTTTCGCCCGTCTTGGTCTCACTACTGCCCGTGGTCCCCAATGTCCGACCACGCGCGTCCTCGGCGGTCTCCATGACCTCTGGGGGCTGCTCCACCTTGATCTCCTGGGCCCGGGTCCGTAACTCCGGCTTCAGGAGCTCGCGGCTCGCGTGAGCCGCCTGGGAAGCACTCTCGTCCCAGCTGAAGTTGACCAGCACCCGGCCCGCCAGCCCCAGGTCTCGGATTAGATGCGTTTGGTCCGAATCGGGGATCACCTCCTGGATCTTTCGACCGCTGCCGCCGCCGCCCCCTCGCGAACCCGCGGGGAGATAGGTGATGACGAACTTCTCAGCGCTGGCAAATGGCGCGGCCAGGCAGTTGCGCACGAAGTCGTACAGCGTTCGTCCCGTGTCCTCCCGGCCGAATCTGGCCACGACCTGGCTTTGGTCGGGGAGGCGGACCTTTACCTCGACATCGGCGATGGCGGCCCGTTTTTCCTCCTCGGCGGCTGCTTTGGCGGCGATCTCGGCGTCCGTGGGGAGTCGCTGGGGTCGTGAGGCGGCGTTGAGGCGGCGTTGGTGGGCTTGTGCGTGGTCCAGAGATGGGATGTAATCGGCTTCGTTGTAGGTGGTTTGCGCGGACTGAGGCGTGTCGCCGGATGGAGGGGAGAAGACGGTCACGGGACGCGAGAAACCAGCGGGGACTTCTGACGGATCTGAGGCTGGTATGGTGGGTTGAGGAGTCGGGGCAGTAGGTTGTTCTGGTGCTGGTTCTGCCGCTGATGTAGAGGCGGGTGTGGACTCGGGCTCGGGACCCCGCTGTTCAGCGATGCCATTCTCCAGCGATGTTTTTGCAGATGCGGGCGCTTCCTCTTGCTTTGGGGTTGGGTCCTCGTAGGTCTGGAAGTATTCCTGGATTTTGGTCATCGCTTCCTCCAATGGCTCTTCCGTCCGCCGGAAGCTGAGCCTTAGTAACACGTTGCCGCTGTTGAAACCAAGTTGTGCTAGTGACTTTTGGAAATCTGCAAAAGATGACAGCTCCCGCTGAAGGACCTGAACCACCGGAGTCTCGTAATATAGTCTACCTGCGCCCTCGTTGCCACTTGGTACACCGCGACCCGTCAGGTTGCGGGTCGAAGTGCCGCCCGCAACGCCCGCCTCGAATTTGCGCAAGATGAACCAGATTGTTGTCGTGCTGGGAAACTTGTCCATGAGCCGCCCGTTGGGGGCTCCCCGTGCTTCTGATTCGGGGAGTTGTAACGCGACTGTGACGACCGAGGGGGAGCGAGACGACTGGACCAGCTCCAACTTAGCACCGGAGGCAAGTCCGGACAGTCGAAAGACGAGCGACATGTCGAGCTCTTTGCCTTTGTATCTTGACAAAGACGGTGTTAGTTGAGTGCACACTGCTTTATAGGTTCGATACTATGGCGGGGTTGTGTTATGGGCGGGAGTCTTACTTCAGCCCATGTTGACTGGGATCTACACCAAGCTTGGTGCAGGCCTCTTGCAGTATGTCAGTCAGATGCTTGCCCGGGGTGGTCTTGACAGTAGCCCTTCGAGCTGTCGAGTCCAGGACCACGACATGCGAGCTCATGATGCGAGGCTGCGGGGTGTGGCAGTCGAGGTAATCAAGTAGAAAAAGAACAGCAGGTCTGCTGAAAGAGCTGGATAGAAGCTCAACGGTGCTTGTTTGATGTATGTCAGTCAGTTTTTCAACCGAAGACAGATATGCGTCAACAAAATATACAAGAGAAAGGAAGGTTGAAGGCTGACAAACCGAAGTTGAGATAACTAGAGTGTAGGCAGCGGGCGCAAGCGTCATCGGAAGAAGCTCGGCGGCTCCACGCGTTGCTGGCAGAGCTTCAGTTCAACTCCGTCCATCTCCATCCATCCTCCGCCCATCCATTCGCCCTCCCAACCATCCTCTTCCCCTTCATCTCTGCTTCACTGTTACTCCTCATTCTCTCTACCCCTACCTTCTCTACTACAGTTCATCCCTCTACAGATCTCTGTATAGCCTGAATCCACTCACAATTTCCCCCCAATCATGGTAAGTTGGCCCTGCGTGACCTCAAGGGTCTGAGCTGAGCAAGCATGCTGACCGAACCGTTTTGACCAGAGTTCTCCCTTCGATATCAGTGCGTACCCTCGATAATCTCCATTTCGATAATCTGTACATTGACTGACCCCCCGCTGCGCAGATGGCGGTGCCTGCGTCGCCATGGTGGGCAAGGACTGCGTTGCCATCGCCTGCGATCTCCGCCTGGGCATGCAGGCCTTGACCGTCTCCAACAACTTCCCCAAGATCTTCAACTACGGCCCTTCGACCTTCCTCGGCTTGACGGGTCTGGCGACCGATGTGGCGACCGTGTCCGACCTTTTCCGCTTCAAAGTGAACATGTACCGTCTTCGCGAGGAGCGAAACATCGCGCCCCAGACCCTGGCCAACCTGGTCAGCTCGTCGTTGTACGAGAAGCGTTTCGGTCCTTTCTTCGTCAGCCCCGTCATTGCCGGTATCAACAGCACAACGGGCAAGCCCTTCATCTGCGGCTTCGACAGCATTGGGTGTATCGATTTCGCCAAGGACTTCATTGTGAGCGGAACCGCAAGTGATCAACTGTTCGGTACTTGCGAGGGTCTGTGGGAGCCGGACTTGGTATGTTTCTTCTTGTTCCTCGGTTGGGGAATCATATCGGATCAGTTGCTAATTGGGATTGATTGCCCTTGACAGGCTCCGGAGGACCTGTTCGAGACCATCTCCCAAGCCCTTCTCAGTGCGGTCGACCGTGACGCTCTTTCCGGTTGGGGTGCCCAGGTTTACATAATAGAGAAAGATAAGGTTACCAAGAGACTATTGAAGGGAAGGCAGGATTAGACGAGATAATTACTTGGATCATGAATTTGTGTTATTTTCCCCCCTTGCGGCAGTTATGCTCATTGTTCTGCTCTCTAATATGACGCTTCCATCCATCCTCCCTCCCCATCTAGGTGCCATCAATATTGCCGAGGCAAGGCTGAGAGTGTGTGGGAATCCAGGCAATGACACGCATATCCTAGGTGCTTGCGGTCTAGCCGCGATCAACTCATCTTGCAGAAATTGCGCTACATGGTATAGTACCAGAAGATAGGCGTGTGATTCGAGCAACTCCCGATTCTGGTGCGTCGGTACTCACTCCCGAGGTCAGCCACTGCTCCATGAATCCTTGGTTCGACTGTTGATGGGCGAACTGTAAGCTTCTACCCTGTTACCAACGACGAGTTGCACGGCTCCGACCTCCTACCTTGGACAGCTTAGGGTCACGTTGTCACCGGCTGGGACTGTAGGTGTGGAACGTAAAGTATGCATGTGTTCCCGTCTTTCCGGGAAGGAGACGAAGTAGATCAGGGTCTGTTGACAAGACGGAGGAGAACTGTGAGTCCCGCGCCGGTCAGGTCCCTTGAGGCCAACAGCACCTCGACGAGAATTGGGGCCTTGTATACGGCGATTAATAGTAGTGGTCCCTTTACAACTACAGACCGTAGTTTAGTCCCAGAGAAACTGTAACCTTAAGGAGACAAGAATAGCCGGCCCTGGCTTTAACTATAAATAAGAGTAAGAGGAACTCGAGTACAGGTTGTATACTGATATAGTTTAAGGATATTAATCAGTATAGTCTAATCAAGGCAAGAGAGGATGTTTGATATAACAAGAATCAGTCTATATAACTTATAATTAGTTAACATAGGGAAAGAAGTCTGGGGGTTGCTACTTTTTCTTAGTACAAATTGATTTAGATATTTATAACCGACCTGTTGAGGTATACTGCGACTTGCCTCTACTCGGCCTTTAGCTGATATATGCGTGTATGGATGATCAATCAATCAACTAATCAATCAACGGAGGCGAGCTGGCTTGCGGTATGCTGATCTCGGCTGACATGCGCCTGAAGACTGCACCGATATTTACGTGATAGATGAGTTCGTAGAGGTATAGCCAGTGCTTCGAGCATGGTCTGGTGTATCGTTACAACATCAAGACCTGGGAAGATTTCAGCAGGCTAACGACTGAAGGACGGGACGATGATGGGCTCAGCGTGCAAAATACAGGAATCAATCGACAAGGCCATGCTTGATGTTTATGCTTCGAGGAAGAGAAAGGTGGAACATGAGTGGTGTAAAAGCGAGATCTATCACATAGTTCAAAGGAAGCGGACTGCCTAAGTCCCTTGTCAACCTAGGCCCCCTAATTATTTCTTACCCCCCTCCAACTAGCTACAGCATACCAGCATTCGCAATCCGCAGTCCTCAAGCTGGTCAGACCCATGCAAAGTGCGGAAGTACACCATGATTCTCAGCGGACTCGAAGTCGTCACCCGCCAGTTGGTGCGCAACCTACGACATGTTCCCCAGCAACGACAACCCTGCGGAGTCGACCTTACTCTACGCCAGGTCTTCAAATGGACCTCCGCGGCAGCCATTGACTTCGACAATACCAAGCGTCAAGCAGCCCAAACGTCTCGCCTGCCCTTCGACACCACCAGCCACGCGATCACACTACAGCCAGGCGCCTACTTAGTCGACTTCAACGAAACCGTCCACGTCCCGCGGAATTGCATGGGAAGCGTATTTCCCCGATCGTCGCTCTGGCGGTCTGGCGTGGGGATCGCGGCCGGCGTGGTCGACGCTGGATATGAGGGTGCGATGGGGGCTTTACTGGAGGTGAAGAACCCCCATGGAGTGGTGCTTTACCGAAATGCCAAGCTCGCCCAGATTGTCTTCGAGGAGCTGGGGGAAACGGTCGAGGGGTATCAGGGGATCTACCAGTCTTCGACGAGCAGCGTGGGGCGCGATGGGACAAAAGGCTGAGTGAAGATGAAAGGAACAAACAAAGTGCCGGACGAGGTCGGATGATTCGTTGATTCGGGAATCATAGAGTCAGGTGCGCGGTGACTCAAGTTTTGAGATCTTTGTGTTCTTCGTGATCTATGCATATCCCACACAAAGGGAACAGAGATAAGAGTCAATGACTCCTCGTGGCAGATCAATTTTAGTTTTGGTTTCTGCTTCGTCCGGTTGTTCCGAGTTGCAGATGATGGCTGCGGTATTACAGGAGGGAGGAATACGCCGCACGATGTGGCTGAAGAGAGAGAGAGAGATTCGATCAGGTTGTTTGGTTGCCGGTCGAGGAAAGAGTCAATCAAGTCTGGGCCGGGACAAGCGGCAGATGGTCGGTCGGTCCATGGATTGATGCCCCGGAGACATCAAGTGACGGTCTTCCTGGGTCCATCGTATAGTTTCTCATCCATGGTCACCTTCCAGTAAACAAGAGTACAGTACCTGCTCTCATGTATCTGTCGATTGGTTTCGGGGAGACATTTGTGAAGATATCTATCAATTGACATGAAGACGATGAAAAGCAGAAGCAAAAGAAGGGGGGAAGTTTCAGCCTCCCCGCGTCTAGACCCGGCGATCGGCCCAAACTGGCCCCATCGATTTCTCAGTCACTTTCTTTTCCCCTCTTCCCAATGCCGCCCATGCCAACTCCTCCAACTATCCTTGAACCTCCTCCTCCTCTCCTCATCAATCTTCCTGCCGCTGCGTTTGCTATTGTACTAACCGGCTTAGCACCATGAACTACATCTAAACTACTTCAAGTAGTCCTTTGTGTCTCTTTCCAATCTGATAATATTTGCTTTCCCCACCCTGTTCTGGACCTCCTCTTGCTTGTCCCCTAAACTTCCTTCCCCCGAGTTTCCCTGTCCCCGTGCCATAATCTCTCGCATGCTGGCCTTCTCTCGCCCTTCCTGCGCTGCACCTCAACCGCGGATTATTCGTGTCAATGACCGATCTTGGCTTTCATCAATTGAACATCCTGTCAGCAGATTCCTGGAATATCCAATCTTTCATAACAGTTAGAATCACCAACGCTGGTTCGGCACTTTAAACCTAGACATCCGCCAATTCCCCTACAGAAACTTCAGAGTCAAAACACGGAAGAAAAAAACAAGGAAAACTTCAACGTTTCCAGAACAATCAGAAAAACAAGAACCTCGATTGCTCTCAATAATAGCCCGGCATCTAACCGATAAATATTTCCTCTTAGCAGCCTTGTTGCAGAAATTTCTATTGCCAACAGCTGCCTGCTCTTCGCCCAATTTTCCCTTCCACCGCCGCGCGGTGTCGCTCAGCGTGGGCTTCGACTTGACCAGCTTAAGTGATGTACGTTTTGATCGGTTTTGGCATGGGCTTGCTCGAGATGTGCTCCGCGGAGAACACCTGGTCGAAAGCACCTGTGTTTGCTCGTGATGCCCGCTTGCTAACATTTTCCCGACAACCCCAGACTGAACGCCATGCGCTGTGTCCCTTCCATAGAATCCGGTCGTAATTCGCTGATCTTTCATCAATCTCCTTCGGTTTCCTGGCGCCCTCCTATATTATAATCTGCCCGGACCCGAAATCTCGTTCGCGGTGGAATCTGTTTTGGACACATCAACTATTCCATCCATACAGGGCGATCAACCCCCTCGGGACACCATGCCCGACTCAGCGGACCCCGAATGGTCAACCTCATTCGCATCTGGTCCTACCATGTCCTTGCTCCCGACTCAGTGCCTTCCCGGTGATGTGCCTGCAACTACCTTTCTTGACGACGATGCGCAGGCCGATTCGTCCGGTCGCCGGTACATCGGTGGACCCCAGAGTTTCGCAATCGATAGGCTGGTGAAGCTAAAGCAAGAACTTCGTCCCTTGGATTCGGAAAAATTCTGGCATCAATTAATGGAGCAAATCAGTCTTATATGCAAGGCTCAATATGTATTCGTCGCTCGCAGGGCTCGGGACGATGAATCCTTGAATGAGATAGAAGGCCACAAAACGATGTTGTTTGGTACAGCCTTCTATTATAACGATGGACACCGCACAGCAGGCATGCACAGACGCAGGTACTTCGCTGGCGGAAACCCTCTCTCGCACATGGACCGTGAGAAGCCATGTCTAATCCCTGAGAAATTAGGATCCTTCATTTCTTTTGACCGGGATCAGCTTCCATTTGCCGCCGAGGGATACCTGGCTGTACCGCTCTTCTCAGGAACAAAGTGTCTGGCCTTTTTTGGACTCATGTGGTCGGAACCGGGCTTGCAAAAGCGTAATCTTTCGTGGTCGCTTCTCGAGATGATCTTGTATTCTCTTGAAGACTTGGTTGTTCAGCGGATTTGCGACGACGTGGACCCTACGGTTACTGTGAACTCCGGTCAAGAGAGCACCAACTCTTCTGGAGGCAAGACATGCGTTGTCGGAGATGTGAACATCGGGGTTGTCCATGGATCTGCAGACTTCTCATCGCAGCCACTGAAGCCCTACGCGAGGAGCTTGTCCCACGAGCTTCGGACACCGATGCAGGGCGTGGTCGGGATGCTGGACGTCATGCATGCTACGGTACGCGAAGCCATCCAAGACAAGCCATCGCCGAAGGCTGGATTTGTCTTTCGCACCCTTAAGGAGAGTATTGAAATGGTCCAAGGTCAGTCTCAGATTCCCATCGCCTATGTGACTTTCATGCTGATTTCCAATATTTTGGGCGGTACAGATAGTGCACGCAGAGCCGTCGAGGCGGCGGACAATGTTGTTCATGCCTACGACATGAACATGCAGGTCCCCAAGACCCCCCAGTGTGAAAGGGACGATTTTTTCAGTGGTCCGTCGCAGAGCCCGGTTGGTGCGAGCGAGGGTCGACCGACCATTTTCGGGGAAAGGAGCAACATCACAGTCAATCCGTACAAGCGACGACGCAGTAACCCTCCGGACTGGAATGCTGGTCAGCCTCCAAAGTCAAAAGCGCCGCGGGTCTCCGCTCCCAGAGGCCTTTCGCCTCGCAGCGAAGAGGTCAAAAATGCGGTTCATGAAAGTGAAAAACTGCTTAAGGCTACTCCTGCTCACGAGATTGAAGCAGTAATGGCGAACGTGGTTGATCCCCGTCCGTCTCTAGCTGTTCGGCGTTCGGCACCGCACTTGCTACTCGAAGGCATCAATGTCAATCAGCAAGTTCCAGCTCTGAGAATGACGAAACTCCGTGATCTACTCCGCCTAGTCATCAACGAGTCCTTGCATGTGGGTGGTCGACCCGACTTCGCTGTGAGTAACGCGACAGAGCAAGGAGAGCGGATTGAAGTCCGCTCGCGGTCATCCAATGGTGAGGTCTTTTCGAAGACAATCGACTGGTCTGTCGATCCGGCCCTTCCAGAGACTCTATTCGTGGATGACCGAGACCTGGCCAAGTTGATATCTTGTGTGTTTCTCAATGCTGTCAAGTTCACCAACAGCGGTATGATCACAGTGACTGCCACGGTTGGCCGCAAGGCGAACGATGTCTTGATAAGCATCAAGGACACCGGGCCAGGTATCCCGGATGACTTCTTACCTAAACTTTTCAGGCCATTCGCCCGTGAAGACACATCCACTACCCGCAGTAAAGATGGGCTTGGCTTGGGTCTTCTTGTAGCCAAGGGATTGTCTAGGAAAATGGGTGGTGATCTCATTTGTGTCCGCTCCTCGACATCGGGGCCTGATCGTGGCTCGGAGTTTGAGATTAGAATCCCCGCCAATCAGCCTGAGCCTTCAACGGACCGACCTTTGCTGCCTCCAAAACTTCTTACACCTCCTCAGCTCACTGAGATGATGCGGCTGAGCAATGCAAACAATATCACGCCAGACTTTTCCTCATTGTTGCCTACCCCGCGGACACCTGGCTCACAGGTCCAGCAGCCATCTCCGTTTCTGACTGATGAGCCACCGTCGCTGGCTACAACGCCTGCGCCCCCGCCTCCCAGGAGCACACCACCACAGCGCCACATCAACGGTGATACTCACGACAGCCGTCTCGGGGAGAAGCATCCCTTGACGTTTCTGGTGGCAGAGGATAACAAGATCAATCGGCGAGTCTTAGTGCACATGTTGAAGCGACTTGGCTACAGAGACATATATGAGGCTTGTAACGGCAAGGAAGCCGTCCGCATCATGCAAGATGTTCTTGAGGCACAGCGTCCCGGCCAACAAAGCCCGAGTGAGGGTTCAAAGCTAGTGAATGAGTCCGACGGCTTCACGGTTCCCAAACCACCCAGTCAGACCAAGACACGAAAAGTAGTGGACGTGGTACTTATGGATCTCTGGATGCCAGAGATGGATGGCTACGAGGCCACATCCAAGATTCTACGGATGGTTGAAGAACACCGGAGCAAGCTTGCCTCCGATACTCCGACTGACCAGCACCTTACCGACACACAACCTCCCACAGTCCTGGCTGTCAGTGCCGATGTCACAGACGAGGCTCTAAACCGTGCCACGAAGGTTGGCATGAAGGGTTACATGACCAAGCCGTACAAGCTCTCGGACTTGGAACGGCTGATCCTGGGCTTTTGCAGCAACAATACCGCACGGCCGCACGATGATTCGATGAATGCATGAACTCGTCCATTTTCTGTTTTTTTCTTGGAACTCTTGTTATTTTCTGTTTCTCGCTTGATACCTCACCGTTGACCTTCCTTTCGACTCTTTTGCTACCGCCCCCTCGGGCCAGACTAGTATTGTCTTCTTTCGTGGACTCCTTTTTCTCCACGTGGTGTTTCTATAGATAATTTTTCCGTTGCTGATGTTTGAATGAGCGACCTTGTGCACCCTTAATGATCTATGACCAGGGGCAAAAACGGAGAGCTAAATAAACGAGAGCTCGATGGACTTGGAATATAACAAATCCAATTCGATGATGATTCTTATTGACATGGGTTGAATTCAATGCTACTGCATTGATAGTTTCGATAGTAAATAGGCGGTGGTAAATATTCCATTCGTACTGTTGTGTGCTGAATGGGCAGGATAAGTCATGTTTTGCACGGTTTTGTAGGGGATCTCATGGGTCTCCGTACACTTGATATATATCCTGACGGCTCGCTTGGGATACTCCGAGCAGCCCATGCAGACGAAGGCTATACATTACATCAAGAACTCGACTAACCAACCGAGCACCTTGAGAACGCTAAGATCACCTTACATTCCCTGACTAGATATCTTTGAATATAGCAGCACAGCCCAAGCGTGAAGAAGATAATATGGATCATGTCATGTCCACGTAAGACATAAAC